AACGTCCCATTCAAGAATTTTTCACTTATATAGAGACGTCACCATATGCCGGTGAAGGGCTTCAAATCTGGACCTATACTCGGCACTTAGGGCCATTGAGCAGTGAGGGTTCTTTATCGTACCAACGCCTACCGTGACACGGGACCTCAGTTTTAAAGTCTCATCTGAAAGATCCGTGACTTTCACTTCTAGTGCAGAGAAGGAACGTTTACGTCTTAGGTTTGACGAGACTCGGCGAACGAGAAGACATATATAAACAAATAGAATTTGAATATTTCATTGAGTCAGACACCAGACAAGAGTCCCTCCTTAATTACTGATGTAACAAAACAGGGGCTTGCTTCCGGACAGTAAAAAATATTTAGCCATCATATACCAACTTCCATAACTGTTTTAGTAGTTGATATATGATTTTTAAAAAAAATCTTTAACTCTGGAAACAAACCCATGTGTTTCGACGGACTTTGGTACAACAATTACAAATTAAAAAAATATTTAGTAGAACATTTTTTGAATTTCTCTCGTAAAGCTACTCCTCCTACTCCTCCTACAGTTTCGCTGGTACTGATATTGATAATTAAATAACATACTATCTATGCAATGAAGCATGATTATACAAATTGTTTTTTTTTTTATTTCAACGAGCAATGTTGCATTGGTTAAAAAAAGATTTTTTGTGAAATTGAGTTTATTTTATTTATAAAACCACTCTTCATCACAGTTTCAGTCCAATTTAAATAAAACATATTACACGAGTTGTTGAAGATGAAAAAAATTGTGAATGACTTTTGATTTTCATGTTTGTCTGTTAATTAACAATTTTTTTTTCCAAAATGCTATTCCTCCTACCAGTTTTGGTACAATTTCAATATAACCCATATAATGGATGTACACAGCCGTCATGGTTCATATAGTACTTCATTTCACATGGTGTACAATTGAATTTCTGAAGCCATCATTTCATATTGTAAACTATAGAACTGTCACGGCAAAATGGACACTGGGTTTTTCAAAAAAGGTACCGAGCCACCAAAAATTATTTACAAACAAGGAGGAAGATTCATAAATTGATACGATTTTATAAAATTATAAATGGCTATTCACCTCAATATTTGTATGACTTGACTGAACCTTATCGCCCATCATATCACTCCTATAACCTTATGTAGAACTAATGATGCAGAATTCAAAATTCCTCACATTAGAACTACATTATACATGGAAAGTTTCCTTCCATCAACAGTTAAACAGTGGAATAACTTGCCTGACTATTAGAAATGCTTCTGGAATATCTTTATTCAAAAGTCTTTTAAATTCTTATTTTTGTAAAAAAGGTAATGAACTTTTTCATTTTTGAATAAGAAAGTATAATTATAATTGTCAGTTAAGAAATAATGCAAGTAATTTGATGGCAGACTTATATAACCAATGTTTATCAGAAATATTTGTTTGAATACTGATTTGATTCTGTTGAAAATGCTTAGTACCATTATAAAATATACATCTCCCCGATATGTACTTTTCCTAAAAATCCAAAATTTTATTGATTGTGATCAGATTATTTCTGAACTTGATTTATTATTATATGGTAGTCCTGATCATGGACTCAGTATTAATATTCAAATATTTGAAGCAGTGCATGCTTACTTAGCAGCAACAAAACGTTTAATTTGAACACTATCATGCAACTTATGTAACTTTTGTCAATATTTCCAAAACCGGTACTTTATTGTATTTTTTCCTCCTTTTTTTGTTTCTTTTTCTACAATGTTTGTTTAATTAGTATTACCTGTATAGTGTGTGTTTACCTTGACCTTGTTGTAGGGAGAGGGCTAAAATGGGCTTTGCCTGCTGCCCAATCCCATTCACATTTTTGTGAGTAAAATTTTGTATAAATGAAAAAAAAGTATTTAAGGTGTTCCCAATTTGATAATATTAACAGTCAAATTTAATTGCTCAGCCTAATAAAACATAAAACAATAACCACTACATTGTTTTGTTTTGTTTTTTTTTTTTAAATTAGATTTGTAAAACTTAATTTGAACCATCTGTCATCTTTGTGAGGCATGGCACTCTGCAATTTGTTTGTTGAGATTATATTATACAATATCAAATTACTCATGATAACATTATTCCAAATTAATTTTGAAAATAAAAGGCTGATCATAAAGTAACTATGTACTTTAATTTGACAGATACTATCAATTGCAATTAAGAAAATTAGATTTTTAATTCTTCTGCCCAGTTTCCAAGAGATATAGATAACATCGGCTCGATCAGACATGCTCTAACTGAAACGATTAAGGCAAGCTTTCTACATTGAACTTATTCATTAATCTTGAACTTGATGCATGTCCACTCATTATATTCCTAAAGAATAAATGAAATTACACTATCAGCTGTGTGATGCACTTTTAAGTCTACATTTTCATATAGTACAATATTATTGCATATTTATGTCATTACTGTTAAAAACAAAGATTTTTAAAAAGAATGTTATAAAGCTGAATAAAAAAGGGTGTAATTTTGAGGCAAAATTAAAAAAAAAATTCTGCTTAACTAAAATTTGTAGGGACCATCTACATTAAAACTAAACAAAAAATCTTTGGCGAATTTAAAAAAAAAGATTATGACCTGGTCTTAAGCTGCTATTACCATTTTTCTACATCTGTAAAAAAAGGGGGGAGGGCAGTTTCTTCATTCTATGTCTCAAATACACATAAACCCATAATGAATATGTCTATAAAAATGAAAAAAGTCCGTAAAAATATTCAATTATGATGAAAATACCAGGTACACATTTTTATATAGTGAATAGTGAGTGTACAAATTTTCAGACAAATCCATGCAGTTGTGTCCAAGAACATGTTCGGACAAAATCCTGTGTACAGAAGACAAATATTAATTGATCCAATAATATAATTCCATTCCATATGACTTCATTTTATAAAATAAAATGAGATAAATAAAAATTCTAAAGCTTGATAATGAGATTAAATGAACAAACTTTATTTTATTTCATGGAAGTTATCACACCCAATCAATAAAACAATGCAAGGAAAAGGCTAGTAGATTTACTAGACTTAAGTGACATCTGGAGCGAAATGATTGTACCTCTCTTTCCGTAGAAAACAATTAGACTGATCCAGTAGTATAGAATGAACGCAGAAAAATGTTACAAGGACGTGTACGTATAGGTAATTGCATGGAATAAACTATTGCATAAAAAAAAAAACTATTTAAGGAAGTAAACACATCAGTATTTTGCATCAGTAATATGATTGTTTCTTCTGCTAACCGATGTTGTTAAAACATGGGTACCAATTCCGATGTAAATCTGCTTGCACAAAATTCAGCTGGCTATCCTTTAACCCTTAGTTTCGCACCATGGAAAAATCCATCTTTAACCATCTGACGTCTGGCAATAGTTAACATCTTTCCAAAAATAATTTCCAATTTAATTCAACTATTCTGAAAGCTTTTCTTTGGTTAGATAAAATAAAGCTGAGAATACATGTAAATATTTAAATTTTGAAAGTTTTAATGACGATCTTTCCTGTGGAAGTGAAATCTCTTTTCGCCCATGACAAGTAATTTTTTGATATAATTGATTTTATATCGATAATTAAAAGTCACCCGTTTGATTTTTATCACACAAAGTATGGTTTGATCCATACTGCTTGAGATTTTGAAATATTAAATTTTAAACCAGAATCATTTCAAAATTGTACAATCATTTTCATTGATTCTAAAGAATCGGAAACGTTTTCAAAATCCTATAGTCTGTCCCACCAAGCTATTGTCACCACTTTTTGCAACATATCTCAAAATATATAAATACCTTGGCCTTCAGCCTAGGTTCGAGAGATAGATCATTTTTTTTCCAATTTTCCTCCATTTATCCGAACCCTCGAGTTCAACCGGTGTATTGACACGGCGGCAAATTCAAAGTCTACGGGGATTTAACATTGCCAAAATGGCCGTCACTTCGGAAGGGGATCCATCATTATTCGTGGATTTCCGTACTTTACCGTCATTGACGTAATGACGTAACACACTTTCGGAAATTCTCTGCACTTACGGACGTCCGGAAAAGCATACCGCCCGAGACTTACCAAGCACCTAATACACGTGTATTTTAAAATTAGTGATAAAATACGGAGTTTTAAGCATACATTGCATATCAATTGACAGAAGAAGTTTAAAAGAGCTAAACACTGCGACCCATTTGAATTCATATACTCAAGGATTCGTAAGTTTGAATGTTAAAAACATTCGAGGCTGCAAAATATCAACCAAGGAAGAGTGCCATGACTGCTTTGCCAAAACATGTAAGCGAATACGTTCTATAGAGTGTAAATGTAAACAAAATCTACAACTTTACCTTGCACTGAGTAAATCCCAAACACAATATATATATATAGTTCAATGTAAACACGATTAAACATCTTGTCACTTCTATACATGTCCCGTAAGTGCACTTCCTGGATTTATATACTTATAACACTTATCACACCATATATCCACCTTTGTTAATACTTTTTGAATCTTTGTGCAAAACAAGACTTGTAGTCTGCATCAAACTACGTCACCAGTGGATTTTGACCTTGCCCTTCGAAAACTTCCTGTATCGGCATTAGGTAAATCCGGGCCCTGAGATTTTAAACATTTTATATCAAGTCTTTCCATTAATAAATGCCAGAATACCAAAGATCAAGGACACACTCAAACATGTACTCATGGAATACATTTTATATGTTTTTTATAATGTCTGTAGATTTTGCATGAATATGAACTTTTAAAATATAACCAGGGATCTCTACTAACTATTAAAGTATATAGGTCCCTGATATATAACACACACTTTTTAAAAAAAAATGTATATTTGCAGGAAATATAAATTCTTGTCGAATCCCTCTCATATTATATTTTCCAAACATTAAGAAAAAAAAATAATTAAAAACTATAGACAAAATTAAATAAGCATAAATAATACAAAGCATTTTACAGCTGTTTTATTTGGAAACAAGAATTTAATTGTAGGATACAGAATAGCTAGCTGATGAAGACATCAGACAGACCAGCACAAGCAAAGATGATTAAACCACCCAAAGTACCTGCAGATACATGTATATGGCCCTCTATAGTTTTTGAAAATTGAAAAACTGTGGAATCATTTTTATGGGGGGGGGGATTAATCAGCTGTTAGTGGGCAGGCATTTAATTCAACTGGTTTGTGCAGACATATTTCATAAGGTTAACTTTAAAATACATTAAGTTAAAGATTCAATGAATTGACAAGTTGAAAAAATAAGTATTTGTGGGAATATAAATTAGTGGATATGTTTGACCCACCTATCCTCCCCCAAGAACAATGATGATTCCACAGTAAATGCTGCCAATTACTTTTTTTTAAAATACCAAAATAATTGAGTTATGTGTCTGAAACTGACAAAGTAAATACTTGTTGAAGTTATGCTAATTTACATCTTCTTCTGTGCAAAGTAAATTCACACTGTAATAATTAAGGGTATAACATACAAATTCAGAAGAAGAAATGAAAGTCAACTGCTCTGTGGTGATGTTGTTTATGGTTTTAAAGTCCCTTCAGCCTTGGTACAATAGAAAAGTCTTGACTCATATTCAACACAATGAAGCCAAGAATGAAGCTATGAATGAGTTGGAGAGTGGGTATCTTGTTTTTTTTTTTTTATTATTATTTACACTCTTAACAGTTCTGTTGAAAATGGTTTCTGGCTTATCCAGTGTCCAGATCACTAAGTAGACTACCAGTTAATATTTGTTTCAGTCATCACTTTTGGTCTGAAATAGATAATAAAACACATCTTAAATGTTATTAAAATTCTTGAGAATGAAAATTTATGGTTAAGTAATTGAAGTGAAATTAAAGAATGAATTTCAATTCTACATGTACCAAGATACATGTAGTATAAATTATATACATATGGAAACTACAATTTTTATTTTCAGATTCCAGCCTGAAGTATGCAATTCAGACAGAGTAAAGACATTTCAATATTTTATATATACATGTACATGTATAACTTACTAGTCCAGAAGATTCCTGAGACTCTGTGATTCACCCAATTACATGAATGCCTTCGAGTCTGGTCATCATAACAATGTACTCCAATTTTTTTAACCTTCAAAAAAAAAATTATGTAAATAAATATAAAGGCATAATCAAGTATACTTTACTTCTTTATTACAATGTGCTCATACACTGTATACAATATGCATGATATCAGTTTTCTGGCCTTTTATTTAGTACATGTATGCTAGAATACTGTACATAACTTTAATTTTACAAATGAATGTTTTGCTAAATTTTTATGCCCCCGGATCGAAAGATCCCGGGGGTATATTGTTTTTGTCCTGTCTGTCTGTTTGTCTGTTTGTTTGTCTGTCTGTCTGTTGTCAACTTTAACCTTGCCCATAACTTTTGATTGGTTGGAGCTATGACTTTCATATTTCACATGTGTATTCCTTGTGACAAGACCTTTCTTTGGGTATCATCATATTTGACCTTTTGACTTGACCTTGGAGTTTGACCCACTTTTGCAAAATTTTATGAGACTTTAACCTTGGCCATAACTTCTGAATGGTTGGAGCTAGGGCTTTCATACTTCACATATGTAATCCTTGTGACAAGACCTTCCTTTGGATACCAACCACTTTGACCCTTTGACCTTGACCTAGGAGTTTGACCTACTTTTGAAAAACTTTAACCTTGGCCATAACTTTTGAATGGTTGGTGCTAGGGCTTTCATACTTCACATATGTAATCCTTGTGACAAGATCTTCCTTTGGATACCAACCACTTTGACCTTGACCTTGACATTTGACTTTTATTTAAAAAACTTGAACCTTCACCATAACTTTTGAACAGTTGTATCTAGGTCTTTCAAATTTCACAGGTGTTTTCCTCGAGACAAGATCTTTCTTTGGGTATCAACATTTTTTATCTTTTGGCCTGGATTTTGACTTGCATTTGAGAAACTTTAACCTTCGACATAAGCTGCCATACGGGGGCATCAGTGTTTCACAAACACATCTTGTTCTTTTGGACATAAAGAATGGATGCGTACAAGGCGAAGATAATCCCCCACTCTGAGAAAAGACATTTCTTAATTCTTAAGTTCATGATGTTATATTTCACAAAATTTGTATTGTCAATATCATCTTTTACACATTTGCTTCTTTTATTTAATTGAAAAACTTATTGATTAGTATTTTTTATTTTCAATTATGAAGGTATGTGGAAAGAAAAAAAAAGAGCCGAAGGCTCAAGTGAGCTTTTCTGATCAAAGGGTGTCTGGCATCTGCCATCTATAAACTTTTTCGACTTCTTCTCAAGAACCGCTGGGCCAATTTAAAACAAACCTGCAAATGTGACAAAGTATCCTTGGGTGAAGGGGATTTAAGTTTGTTCACAGGAAGTGCCATGCCTTCTTTCAAGGAGAGATAATGAAGAGTTCATGAAAATTTAGTGGCATCTTTAAAAATCTTCTCAAGAACCACTAGCTAGGCAAGAAAAGATGAAAATTATGTAAAAGCTTCATTACAAATTACATCACATGTACAATCAAGTTTAATCATATCATAACCGGGGGGGGGGGGGGGGGGGGCACAAGAGGGGGGTGAAGTTTTATGTAGGAATATATGGGAAATGTCTTTAAAATTCTTCTTCTTGAGAACAGCTTTGCCACTATTAGTCATATTAATTCAGAAGCAACCTTGGGTAATGTAGAATCAAGTTATCCTCAGGTAGTGTAGATTCAAGTTTGTTCAAATTAGGGGGGTGGGGACACAACAGAGGGTCAAAGTCAAAGTTTCGCTTAAGAATATATAGGAATCATCTTGAAAAAAAACTTCTGTTCAAGAACAGCAAAGCCATGATTAGTAATATTGATATGGAAGCATCCTGAGGTAGTGAAAATTTAAGTTTGCCATTGACATTACTAACAACTTTTTTTTTTTTATAAATGTAACTCTTCCATGAACTTTGAAAATTGTAATATATCTCACAGCAGGGGATTGTCCATCTTCGCTAGCCAAGGGTTTCCGATCCGAAATCTACTCTGAAACCCTTGGCTAGCGAAGATGGGGATTGTCCTGTATGCTCTCTTTCTTCATTGTTTGAACAAAATGGGTTAATTATGGGGTAGATGTAAGTCAATGAATTTCAAATTATGAACTTTAAAGAAATACCACCACCCCCCCTCCCGAAAAAAAAAAATAATAAAGATTTTTTTTTTTACAATACTGGTGAAAGAAAAAAAAAAGAAATCTCAAGGGTTGTATACCAGGGAAACTTCAGCATTACCATATTATGAATTCCAACTTAACAAAAAATTGTTAGTGAAAAAGAGGGGGGACTGAGGAACAACCAAAAAAATCACACTGCCTTTCACATGAAGGGATGAAATGTAACTGCAAAGTTAGTACTGGAAGTGTGAATATTTCAAAATGGGAGTATTTGGGGCATGCCCCCTCCCCTGGAAAGTTTAGGATTAACGTAATAATTTGCATTCTGAGAGCTAATCTAAGTTCATTTATTTTATAATAAAATGCAGCATGCTTACTTTATCCTCATTTTAATGTATATTTAATAGAAAATTTTCTGTAACTAAAAGGGGGAAATTTGACATTTTATTCATCAGGTGAAAGGATTGTTTACAATGAATTCTGTGGACCAACTGTTGCGTTTTAGATATGTTCCCTGTGACTGAAAGAGAAAGTAGACCTATCATATAAAATATTAAAAATCTTAAGCTTCTTACAAAAAAGCCATTACCATTATAACGTTAGATCTACTGAAAGTTTTCGTTTTCCCCCACTAGGCCTACTGTGCAGATATGCATTGGGCGCTTTCGCCGAATAATGCTTGATTTTGACAAATCATTAGCACTTGAAAACACTTCTTTTGTGGGTGTACTTTCAGAAGTAAAAAAAAAAAACAACTTACGTTTTCATCGAAGGAAGCTGTAAATTACACATCATGTCAACATCCCCTTTCTAGAGCAGTGCGTTATCCACAACTTGTACTGCATTGAATTCGGATTATTTTCTCTCAGTTTATGAGAAAACTCGTCAAATATATTTGAATGCAAAACAATACTTATATTTTTTACCAAAACACACTGAATTGCTTTCGTTGAATTTTTAGGATTTTTTGTAATTTTAATTTGGAAAGAACGACTACTCCCTCGATAAACTGGTTTCCTGCCCCGTGATCTTGACGCTAATGGACGAGTTTACCATGTTAAATCCCCGTAGACTTTGAATTTGCCGCCGTGTCAATATACCGGTTGAACTCGAGGGTTCGGATAAATGCAGGAAGTTTGGAAAAAAAATGATCTATCTCTCGAACCTAGGCTGAAGGCCAAGGTATTTATATATTTTGAGATATGTTGCAAAAAGTGGTGACAGTAGCTTGGTGGGACAGACTATAGTAAAGGAGCATACCAAATAATTTTTTTTTAAGTTGAAGGTAATCTATTAAAATCAAAAATATGTAAAACCCTACTAATTTCACCTATAAAACTACCCCACTTTAAAAACCTTTTACAGCATCACTTATAATACTCGTCAATACATTCTTGTTGCGATTTGCTATAGGACTAGAGCCAGTTATGTAATCTACAGCCACAACTGCCTCTGGCTCCTTCTGCTAGCTATGCTTATTGTAGACGATTTCACATACTGGTCCTTTTCAATTTTTTGGTTTTTTAAAGGTCTTAATATTTTGTCAATGTTGTCCGTGACATCAATTCTTTGCCTGTGGCCACTCGTATGCAGGACAAATATGATCTTTGAAGTATCAGGCATTGTCCACAAGATGTCTGTTCTCAGCTTTTAAGGTCCTTGAGAGTTGTGCATTCATGTTGGGAATATGAACCAGTATGATGAAATTGTCTTTGAATTTTTCTCTCTTTGTAATGACCGATTTTCTCACCACTCCATTTTAAGACCGACAATCACGGAGTGCGGGTGTTGTTTATCACTGGATGGAATTCTGTGAATGGCAAGGATGTTTCGCAGATCGAGGACAATGCCTGTTCTTTCCACCACGATGGTACAAAACTCTTCTTTCGGTTTTTGGCCTTGGCTTTCTGGTCAGTTAAGAATCTTGATGTGATTTTTCGGGAGTACTGCTGTTTGAAATTGGCCATACTGACTGATATGTTTGCAAGCCCGTTTACTTCCTTCAGTTTCGTGTCCAGTTTACTAATTTATTTAAGGAATGAATTAAATAGCTAACCAATTTATATCGCATAAATTGGGTAGCTATTAATTTTATTCCTTATAATTTAAATTTCATTTATTTGGTATAAGAAAAAAGATGATTGCGATTAAAAAATTACTTCAAATCGTACAAAATTTAAATGTAACGTCAGGCGGATCGATACGTTTTTTACGCAAGTCATTGTGACGTAGGCAACCAAATTTATACAATATAAAGTAAAATTTTTTATCCAATCAAATACCGCGTTATAACCAGAATTAAATTATTTAAGTTCCTTCCTAATTTTGGCAACATCTTTACTGCGCTGTTCTAACTGCGACTTTAGTTCTTCTTGGATTTCTGATTTTAGATCTTTTCCTTTATACTGGCTGTGAAATACTCGTATAATTTCCTCTTTAGATCCTTCATAAAGCCAGCCACTACACTTTTAACTATTCTCCATATATCATCCTTTGTGACTATCCTTTTGATTGACTGTTGCATGGAAGACAATACACACAATTTCTGAAGTATCCTGCTAAGGAGATCCTTCTTCGTTTTGAAGCTAGTTTTGATGATACAATTTGTGTTTTTATTTCCCATTGTACTATTGTAAGAAAAAGAGTCGGTTAAGCATTAGGAGGGAAACTTTCCCATATTTTTTGCTCTTCTTCTGCGTCTTTGTCCTGGTGATCATCCATCTTTACACCAGAACAATGGTTCACTGAACACCGAACACACACACAAGGAATCACCTGTGTCATTCAGGTACACTGAATACATGGGAACACAGCTCAGTGCTCTCAGTAACATTTGATAATAAGTTGCACAAAGTCAACTTTTCCAGGATTTTTAAATAAAGAAAACAGGCCCAAACTGTGCTTTTAACCTTTCTCAAACACTATTAAGCAATTTGTCCACCGAATTCATCATATATTTAAAAAAGCTTAATTGTACATGTTCAGTAGTAAGAAGATGATTTTGAAACCCCATATTTCACCATCATATAAGAATACTGGAAGAACAACTTTATCAGATAGATCCGATTGACATCCGGAGGGTATAAATTGATATCACAGAACACTTGACAACGCACTGATAAAACTTACTGAGAGACAATGTTTCATGGCGTGTTTCATGAAACTTGTTTAAAACTCCACTTATCACAAAGTTTTTACATTTATTTCATGCGACACATTTGAAACATGGTCTCTTAGTATGTTTCACCTGTGTGTGGTCAGGTGGGACACACAATATTTCAATATTTACCAAAATGTACTGAATATAAATGATAAGTTAGTTCAGATCACGGCATACTGTAAAATAACACATTTTCGTGGGGTCAAATTTTCGTGGGTTGTGGAAAAATACTGGTTTGTGGGAGATTTGATTTTGTGGCTGAAGAAGTGTCGAGTTTCTATATATGAGAAAGATTACATTTCGAGAGAGACATGAATTCGAGGATTTATTCATACCCTCCGTCGGCAGGTGGTGGCGTCTCAATATGAGTGAAAAATTCTCAAAAGCAACTTCAAACAAAATACACAAACAAAACCGTGAAGCACGAAAATTAACCTCCACCAAAATTAGTAATTCACAGTATTTAAAAAAAAACAAACCTTTTGTTAAAGGAATTTAATGTGATATAAATTGGGCACGACAGTAGATCCAAAAATGAATGTTTTAAATTAGATATGTTAACATTGGTCAATATATGACCCCCCCCCCCCCCTCAATAAAAAAAAAAAATCAGTGACAGTTGGCACATGTCTGTCTACTCTAAGAATCTTGGATTTGCATATATAGGATCTCCATTCTTCACTTCGGACACTATTTCATCCATCTGAACGAGATCCACAGTCCGATAAATGACAACCACACCATCTTTGCATGCCATCATCAGGTATCCATGATCACTGTCAAAAGCAAGTGCTACAGGACTGTGAAACCTATCTTCTATTTCATACTCCCTATGGCTCAAATTTCTATTCTGAAAATTTACAAAATGTAGTTTTCGACCTGTTGAATTTCCTACAACAACATTATTCTTACAAACACAAGGTTTCGATGGCGTAAAATGTTCACCCTTCGGACTTTTCCATCCACTTGTATTGTTCTCGCGCTCGTGGATTACAACTCTTTTTAATCCTAGTTCAGTGTCAGAAATCAAAAGTCTAATTTTGTCACCTGTTTCCATCGCAGTGTACATTGGTTCTTTTAAAAATACATCGCCTTTACCATATCGAGTAATAATTTTTCCTGTTCCGTTTTTGTTTAGGGCATACTCAATAACTTCATTTCTATCCGGTTCACAGACAAACACCCTTGAAGAAGCAATGCAAATTCCACGTGGTTGATCACAATGTTTCGTGAATTTTTTCTCAAAACTGTATCGATCATTTTCCCTCAGTCTGAAGACGTGGATAGTTCCTTCGTGTGGTACTAAAATGGTATCATTTTGCTATCAATATTATATTATTTAATTTATATTATTGAAACAAAATGGTAAATATTTCAATACTACTTAAAAATGACATTTACTCATACAGGGTTTAGTTGACAGAAATGGAATGCTATAAAGTACAATATGTTAAATCAAAATTTGTTCTAAATGGACAAAATAACTAATGTATAACTCAATATCAATATAAAAATATTTTATTATTTGGAGAAAATAGGCAAGCTAGAACAAAATTATGGGGAAATTTTTTTCCCCATAATTTTTTTCTTGCAATACCCTATTATTCATAAAGTTAATATTATATGTGTTTTTTAAGGCGGCGCTAAAGGGCCAGATAAAAAATATCTGTTTGTTCGGATGAAATTTATCTGGCTCTCCAGTGGCGCCGTAGTTTTTCAACGCCATTTTGCAAATATCATGCGAGTTTAAGCTCATGTAAGATTTCAAATAATGAATGGCATGCAATGAAAAAATTTCAAAAATATGATCAAAAATCATTCCATACAACATGTCTCAACATTTTTATAATTTTATGTTATTTAAATACCGGCATGCATGATGAAGACAATAACAACAACAACAACAACAAAACTCAGACTATAAATCGTTTAGAGTTCTTGTCATTCAGAATTTTGTAATATTAATTAAAAATGGGTAAAAATTATAAAATTGACAGAAAAAAAATTCGAATTGAAATAATTAGTTCAAACTCTAATAATTATTATTGATTTTTTTTTGTCATCTGAGTAAACATCCTTAAAGTCAGACGCTTTTTTAAAAAAGTAAATAGGGAAACATGAAGGTCTTTACTGTTTAAATTATTTCATGAATAATTTGTTCGAAAAAAGAAAACTCTAGCAGAGTATGCGTTTTGGTCTTCCTTGAAACCCTGACTGAAGGATCTATATAAGTAATGGTAATAAGCCGAAAACTGTCCATTATATCAGATATTAGACGGCCCGAGGAGCGTTAGAGTTTAATATCTGACATAATGGTCAGTTTTCGGCTTATAACTTCGTTCAGTCTTATTTTCCCGTATTGCGGCATCTTTAATAAACACGTGCGTAAAAATTAATTCTATTAAAGTTTTGACAATTTATTCATTTACGATGCAACATCACGGGATGACAACGTACATTTCTAATCGACGACCTTTTCAGATACAAATATTCTTGACAATGTCATTCATGGAGAACATCAAAATTTGGAAAAAGTTTTCTTCTGTGAAATCTGAGGATATTCTTATATTTCGGAGTTTGCAAGAAACAGTTTCTGAAATGTGCGAAACAACAGAATTTAAACCATTTTTTAACTGAATTTTTTTTTCAAATATGAAATTGGAAAATTATTTCTGATATTCTCATTTACAACAAACAGTTTCTCGTTTGTGTTCCGGTTTTGTTGGATTTTTACTCCAGCCATTTCTTAAAAGCGACGACAGACACTCGCTCAAACAATGCGGGACTGAACAGCCAGCAAAAATAGCCACATATTACCTAACAAAAATACTGGCTTACATCACAGAATCATTAACTATTGAAGTAACTTTGGCGAGCGGAATAGTTAAAGGCAGAAAATAGATGTTCACTACGCAAAGAGACCCAAGGATGTTGCAAGAAAACGTGCACCTGATTTGTCTTTTGTGTCCCCAATATTCTGTGCTTGTTCCATAGATCAATTAATTTGAAAGGAATATAAACGAACGACAAATTTTGAAATTTAACATCGGTGACGGATTCTTCTACAAAATTTCCCCCAAGAAATTCAGTTCACCGTGGATTCAATAGAATTATTTTATTAAATAGTAAATGCTGATTTCTTACATTTCTTACATTTATTGCTAATATTAAATTCTTTGAATTATCAAAGTTTTTTCAGTGCTATTTATTTATCTGTATCGCCTTTTGTTTTCATTTTAATGTTACCTGTAGCTTTCCAATATGTTGAATCTTATTGGACACCTACAAGTAACTTGTTGGACAATATACAGGGCAATAAGAAATTAATTGGACCATGTTTAATAAAAGATGACGTCACAAAAAGGTTTAAAGTAACAAGAAAATTAGGAATATCCGTTCAAGTTCTGTTCTACGTGTGACAGATTGTACTACTATTCTACAACTATTGTCCTATATAGATTCTATAATAAAGAATATAATTTTTAAAACTCTGATTATCAAGAACAGATATGAATTTCATTCAATCTTTCAACTAAATATACAAACATTCATGTTATAATTCATCAGTTATGTATGTGGAACGTCTCAGCTGCCTTATGTGGATAACATTCCATGTTGTGATGATATTTTATCTTTATATCCTGATATAATGACATACAGTGTAATATGCTGATATCATGACATAATATGCAGATACTTATACATGATATGCTTATACATTTTTAAAATTAAGATTAAATTAAACTTCATTATAGGATGCTTTAAAAATAGGTTAAACATTGAGATCGTGATACGCGTTTAAAACTCCCAAGCTGTTTATATATATATATATATATATATATATATATATATATATATATATATATATATATATATATATATATATATATATATATATATATATATATATATATAAGATATTCAATGTTTTGTAGATGAATATGGAATTTATTTCACGATTGGAACAGAATTTTTTGATATTTTCATGAGTGCGAAGCACATGTGAAAATATCAAAAAATCCTGTTTCACGAGTGAACTAAATTCCATATTCATCTATAAAACATTGAATTTTCTGTTTATTACATTTTCTTAGATTTCCCTTTGCCTCGGTCTTTTCGTAACAGAGTGTCATAGGCAGAGTTAAGCGGTTGAGACGTCATAGCTAAGCGATTGCGAGTTTGAAAAACGTAAACATATATTTTTAACGACATATTTGGAAAAACTTTGTCAGTATAACTATTAGTCTCTATCAGGATGGCTCATCAACTTTATCTCATAACAGGCCAAGGATTTTTTAAAAAACACTCTTCGTGAAGGGAAGGAAATTCATAAATTTTGCCGCACTTCGGATATTCTCACACTGTGAGAATACCATTTTGATATCCTTCACACTGTGTCAGAATATAGAATATCACTTTTATTCAGTAAATAAATTACAGTATTTCACTCTTGAAAATGTAATATAAATATATTAGGGATGGCAATCGAATACAGAATTGCTAATCGGTTAACCGCAAGACGTTCCGACCGATTAACCGGTTAATCGTATCAAAACATACATTTTCTTGACATATTTTTTTCAAGTAGCTCTATTCATATACACAAGAAGACTGAAAAAGAAGTTAGAAGTTAAAAACATTCTGTTTATCTTGATCAAGAAACTACATGCAAATATATTTTATTTCAATTTCAATAAACAAGAAAAAAAAAAGAAAACCATGAAACATGTCTGAGAAATCGGACATTGATAATTTTTCAGAGCATATGTCACACAGGTTCATTTTGCATTGCATGTCACAATTATCAAAACCATGACTTAACTTTCACTTAAATTACAATGTTTGTGTAATAATATAATTTAATAGATAACGGCAAAAGACAAACATACCAATTCATAGTGCTAAACGGTGATTTAATATCATTGAAGAATTACAGGACGATCGGGATTAAGGACATGGTGTTTTTAAAAACAGTAATTAACTTCACGAACTGACCAATTACTCCGCAATCTCAAACCGTAAAGCCATAATTACTTCCAAATCAGCTTAAACAGATATGTGAAAACGCTAAATTATCAACTTTTATGCAGAGGTTTCTTTTTTAGAAATGAATTTTATGAAAATTGCATTCAAATTTACATAAAATTTTATTTTTTTCCGACTAACCGATTACAGATTTTCTAACCGATTACCATCGTTCCGACCGAGTAATCGGTTAACCGGTTAGAAATTGCCATTCCATTCCTAATATATATATATATATATATATATATATATATATATATATATATATATATATATATATGACGGTAACCCTCCCCCCCCCCCAAAAAAAAAGTGAAAATCGAAAATTCTCTTTATCTTACATGTCTCCCCCGCGCATCTGTCACAACCTTAATTCTTCTATGCATGGATTTCATCAGTTTGTTTATCCTTCTAATAGGGATGTTATTCAACCCTTACCACAAGGCAGCCCTTAGTTGATCGAGACCAGTTTGGGCATGTTGAACCCTATCGACCACGTAGTCTCACACACCCTGGCAGCATTAGAACGGAGGTTACAACACCGAAAAAAATAGGCAAACGACGCACGCGTGCGCGAGTGCGAGGAACACCAACGTAAAGTTGACGAGCTCACAAACTAAAATTGCACAATCGATTTTCTTCAGTTTTTGGGTGAATGTAACGATTATGATAGCCTACTGTTCTGATAGCAGTTCAAGGGTATTGAAATAGGGATCATACGGTTTGCAGGATGAATAGGCCGATCTTGACCTGGCGCTGGTACGTGTCAACATTATAGGGAAGTTTTTGGCATTGTAGAGCATACATACGTAACGTAAACTTGCCATATTTTATCTTAATATTTCCTCGATTTTGCACACGGGTGATGAGGAAAAGACAAGATCACCCGTGGGTATCGGACGATGTAACGTATATTATTTTAAAATTGGTGATTTTCTTAATAACTGCTGAAAAATAGACAAACTTGAAATATTTATTCATAAATTCGAGGATCTGCTAAACTTCATTCTTCAACAGAATTAATAAAAATGCAAATTATAAAGTCTTTTTGTTATGCAAACGATGGTTGTTCGGAAAGGTCGCGGACTATAGTAATCTTCGTTTTACTATTTTTATGAAATTTAAAATGAACACAGTACCATGTGTAAAAATAATTATTTTGTTGATGTATGAAGTTTCATTCCTTTCACGTGATTTGATATAAATTCTCACTCGTTCAGTTACATGTCCATGTATTTTTTTTGGCGATTTTCTTCAAATGTTGAAGTATCGGGATATAATGTAAAAGTATCCGCAAACATTATGAAATATTATTACAACATGAATGTTACCCACAGTCGAGGCGTTCTATACATTATACATGTAACTAAAATTACCATGTCGCCTCCCAGGATCTGTTATGAAAAGAAATTGCTTTTCATCATCCGTCTTATATGCTGCAATATCGAAGGGTCCGCACAAGTGTTCTGTTATGGTCCATTTAATTTTCCCGTGGATGTCGTAACCCATGCAAAATCCTCCAGAACGGCTGGCAACTATGATAGTGTCATTCACAAACACCATTCCTGAAAAACAAATGCTACACTGAAAATTTAAATTTTATAGCTGTATTCAATTCTAGATACTTTAAGAAGCTTTTGAAGTACACGTTTATCCATAATAACTGCAACTCCTATGTTGAAAAAAAGTCCTTGAATGGACGACCACTAAGTTCTAGATGTGAACCATATTTTTTCTGCAAGCATATGAATGAAGATTTTTGATTAGTTCCATTCTAAAGTTTCTTCCTGGATTGGGAACTTGAAAGTATATTTTATCTGAATATACATCTGCAATTTATTTGAAGAATGTTTTTCCATATGAACGAAGAGGATTAAAATTTGACGTAGGCCAACTCCAAAATGGAACAGAAAAGAGTCTGAAAAATCTGGTTGGGTGTTTTTTAAAGAATGAATTGAAGCGATGACTTCATCCTCTTTTTTTTTTAACGTACTCCTTGCTCAATGTAGAAATATACCATTATCACTTGCATATGCTGTTTCTGTCTCCCACTTGATCAATACGCTTGATGTTTTATTCATTTAAGAAATAAAATATCATTTTAGAGTTTCATTGGGATATTACATGAAGTAGATTGATCCCCCACGAATAAATGATTACACAGCATATATATATATATATATATATATATATATATATATATATATATATATATATATATATATATATATATATATATATATATATATATATATATATATATATATATTAGGGATGGCAATTTCTAACCGGTTAACCGATTACTCGGTCGGAACGATGGCAATCGGTTAAAAAGTCTGTAATCGGTTATTAAAAAATAAAAATATATGTAAAATTGAACGCAATCTTCTTAAAATTCATTTTTAGAAAAGGAAATTCCTGCTTAAACGTTGATAATTTAGCGTTTTCACATATTTATTTAATTATGATTTAATTATTATGGCTCTCCGGATTAAAATTGTGGGGTAATTGATCAGCCTGTGATGTGTAAATTACTGTTAAAACACCAAGTAGTTACCCCGACTGTCCTTAATTTTTCAATGATAATAATCACCGATGAGCACTTTGAATTGGTGTGTGTATCTCTTGCAGTTATCTATCGAATTACATTATTAAACAAACATTGTAAAGTAAGTGATACAGTTTAGACTTAGTTTTGATTATGGTGACAATGAAGAATGAACTTCTATGAATGTGACATCCGCTCTGGAAAATCATCCACGATTTTTCAGGCATGTTTCATGGTTTTCTGAATTTTTTCTTGTCTATTGAAATAAAAATATATGCATGTAGTTTTCTGATCAAAAATAAAGACAAATAGAATGTTTTTAACTTCTAACATTGTTTATTTAAAGTCTTCTTGTGCGTAGGAATAGAGCTATTTGAAAAAAAAGTCAAGAAAATGTGAAGTTTGATACGATTAACCGGTTAATCGGTGGGAACGTCTTGCGGTTAACCGATTAGTAATTCTGTATTCGATTGTCATCCCAAATATATATATATATATATATATATATATATATATATATATATATATATATATATATATATATATATATATATATATATATATATATATATATATATATATATATATATATATATATTAACCTGTGATCCTGGTTTCCGTGTCGAAAAAATCAAGTCTTTCCAGAATTTCCTCGCTGATGCCTGTGCTTCTTCTCTGAGACAATGATTCTGTGATGATTGAATTTATCTGACTGACGTCAGCATACTTTAGCTGTAAGGTATAAAAGACCAAACTGATTCTTCTAAAAATTTTGATTTTTCCCCATTCGACTGTATTTAATGTATTACATATTATTTTTCACACCCACCCACCCACCCACCCACCCACACACACACACACACACACACACACACATATATATATATATATATATATATATATATATATATATATATATATATATATATATATATATATATATATATATATATATATATATATATATATATATATATATGCATAACATGTACAGCAAAATGAATGCTAGTTCTAAAATATTTTTCTCTAAATTTCAAACTAGAACCTCTCTATCTTACCTCATTTGCATACAAACCATTACTCCTCCTCTTAACATTCATATATGTTGATCTGTCAGATAAAATATTTAACATCATTGATTGTCTTGGATTTATGTTCATGTATGGCTGGGTACGCAGACTAACATCGCTATCGGTCGATGCAGATGACCTTGCGCTACCACTTTGACTTTCACTTGCAATACTTTCTGTCGATTCTTGGATTGACTGCTGTTGTAGTGAAAGAAATGATGACGCGTAACACTTATGAAGCTCGTTTCCCTTGTTTAAGAGTAATGTCACCTCCCGAAGTAAGACTTCATACAATTTAATCACATTCTTACATTTTTGCTTTGCCCAATCCAACTTTGAAACATCTAAGTCCTCGTAGTGTCCATCTGCCTTCAATTGTTCTATTACAGTTTTCACCTCTTTAAAACGCAACTTCACTTCTGATAAACCTTCGTCTGATTTCTTTTTTAATATTTTAATTTTAGTTTCTGCGTCTGCTGCTTGTCTTGATATTGACTGTAAATGGTGCTCTGAACAGGTTTCTTCACAAGCTGGAAGTTTACAATCCAAACACCAGTTTTGAATGATTTCATTTTCATGGTGTTCACAATTCAAGTCCTTATTAACATTGATGTCGTCTTGGCAATTTTCTGCTATCATTTCGCCGACTTCATAGACCTTGTGCTTTTTTGTTGTAGGATTCATGTGATGAAATTGATTGCAAATAATGCACATTCTCATTTCACATCTATCACAGTAACGTACTGCAATTTCGCCCATATGTTGACTCAAAGAACATTTAGGATTATCCAGCAAAAGTTTTGTAATTTTCCTTTGAGTTATCTTTAAAGCAAGGTCTTTTGCAAATCGATTTTTGCCAGCTGTACTTGATTCACAGTGAAATGATTCATTGCATATAAAACATCTTACAATAGGAATTTTTCTCCTGATGCACTTTTTGTTCATTGTGTGCCCACATTGAAGGTAACAGGGCTCATCATAAATTTTCAAACAACATGGGCATCTTGTGTACTTCTCCACATCCTGCTCACAGCTGTTAAAAATGTCAGTTTTTTAAGAAAACGTAATTTTTTTAAATACTAGAACTTGTGCATGCATCAATATCATATCGATGCAGTTTTTTGGATATACGTGATTTTTTGCTGGGATACATTTTTTTCATTATATATTATCAATCATATTATCAATTAACAATAGTTATTTCCATTCATATGTCGACACGATATATCTCAGTGAGCTTGAAATAAAAGATACCATAGAGTCTGACACATCAGTTTCATATTTGGATATTTTACTTGAAAAAAAAAACGGTAATGGTAACAACAAAGCTTTATGATAAAGGTGATGACTTTAACTTTTCAATTGTCAACTTCCCTTACTCACACAACAATATACCCTATCACCTGCATATGAGGTGTTTATCTCTCAGTTCATTCGATACGCAAGAGCATTCTCTATGTATGAACAATTTCTAAAACGAGGCAAGTTATTGACAAACAAGTTGATGAAACAAGAATATCAACAGTCTCGTTTAAGGTCATCATTTCGTAAGTTTCAGGTCAATACAATGACCTTGTCAGCAAATACAATCTATCTTTAAGTAATATGCTGACTGATGTTTTTCATACTAATTGTTAGGCCATTATTTACACACTGAATTGTCGACGGATTCTTCGGTTATTTTTTGATCATGACAAGGAGCACACGGTGTGTGTGACCGCTCTGCAGGGGAGGCTCACTCCACCATGGTACCTGATCCCACCTCTGTTTTTGGAGGTCTGTGTTTGCTCTGCTCCCGATTTGCATTGTTTTAATGGACTTTGAGCATGAATACTGTTCGTTATCTCATACTGTGAAATTAGTCATCTTCGTGGGGGATTGATTTTCGTTGTTTTCATGATACGAAGAGAGGCACGAATTCATATCCTCCACGAAATGTAAAATTTCAAATGCATAACAACTCAGCACTTCTTCCTCTACGAAATCAAATCCCCATGAACAAATAATTTTTCCTCGGACCTAAAAAATTTGACCCCAAGAAAATATGTGATTTTACAGTATAATCATTTTCCGTATACATGTAGAGTGTTACATTTCAATGTTAGTATCTTATAAAAATCATTTTGAATCTAAGAAGTAAGTATTTAATTACTGCAGATATGTAATTAGGGCTATTTTTCACCTCAAATTGTTTTCGTCCTTTCACGCTTGTAACCAATTTTGCCCCGTTTTAAATCAACCCAAACTCTGTCGTGTTTAAGAGATTTATGTTTACTGTGACTTCGCACCGTTTAACATTCGTTCACTTGCAAAGAGGGTGAAAATTTTCCTTGTATACAGTTTAACAAAGTACATTTTATTTTGCTTAAATCTCAGACCTAGAAGGAAGTCATGTTCATTTGCATGTTATTTATTTCTAGCTTATGTTACATAGCAATATTACCTTTATTAAGTAATCTTTGATTGTATCTAATAGAAATAAATATTTTGGCCTAGATGTCCTAAATGTTTTGATTTCAGTTAACTTAAAAAAGAACAAATATATCTTTTCCAGGCCTAAATCTCTATGTTATGAATTGTAAAATACAGATCAAAAACATTTTAATCTAACATAATTTTGTGAAGTTTAATATTTGAATGCATATTTTTGAAAATAAATGCATTGCTACTAAACAAAGGCGAAGACAAACGATATTGCGAATTTTGCAAATCTATTATAGTTTTTACGTTCATGATAGAAACTTTCTTTTCTAGTATATAGAATGATATTCAGTCTTAAATGTCACTAGGTTTGTTATGAATTAAGTTTTTATAAAACTTTTTTTTTTTTTAAATTAAACATAATTCCCTCTGAAGAGTCTCCCACACGTCCTTTTTTTAAACTGTTGGCATTGTTTTAGCAAATTAAAAGCCTCTTCATCCCACCTTAAATTTCACTTAGATATTTAAACTGGTGTTATTTCCTGTCCGAACAGTGAAGAAAATACATCGCGTTTAATAAACTCTTTTGTGCTCTTCGGGAGATGGTGATGTATGCTAGCACCATGTGTACTTGTAAAGTATTTAAAAAAAAACAAACAAAAAACGATTTATATGTATTATTTAGCAGAATGCCAAACCTCAAAAAGCACAAAAGAATTTCGAAGACGAAATGTAGTTTCTACAGTCTCGTTACCATGGAACATTCCTGATTCAAACCCTGATAAATATTTCGGGTCAATAAGACAAGACCGGATCTTACCCAAGACATACCAACAACTTATAAAATAAAATACAAAATGTGTGGAAGGTACTCTAACGAGACTGCTGAATTCCTGGGAAAAAAGTTCTTTAAAAATTTCATAACATGCCTAAATGCATTTAAACTGTTATTTGTTCAAAAACGGAACAACTAAGTACTGCAAAGTAAATTATCAATCATCAATATCAAAATATAATGTAAATGTTAAACTTTTTTTTTAATTTTAAAGGATTGTTCTTTGCACCTTGTCAAAATGTTCCTCCCCAAAAGTTTTGTCATAGAAAGAACAAATAAATCAACTAGTAACAGTCCGCTCATTCTCTCATGAGATAGAAAAGTTGAAATGTGACATGACAGATGTACATTGACATTGTTCAGGTATGTCGTATTGCAAAATACAGTAAAACTCGTTTAGTACGAACACGGATATTGTGAATTAACGGAAATAACGAAGTTTTCTTGGATCCCCAGCTATATAAATTTATTGAATTCCTTATATGGATATAACGAATTACGGATATAGCGAAGTAATTTCACAGGTCCCCAGGACTTCGCTATAACCGAGTTTTACTGTACTGAACTAATTTTTTGACATACTTGCTGAGCTTTCTATACTTTTGACTCCAACTATGCAGAGTTGGGATCAGTTCGGGTGACATATGTTATTGCTTGCATTAGCAGAAATTCTAGTTTGTTTTGAAGTTGTTCTTGGTCTATGTAATTACCGAGGTTGAACAGACACGTAAGAAAACTTTTCAAATTACTGGTAAGCTTTCATTTGCTTTTATTTGTCTCCCATAATTATGACAATGACAACGTTATTTTCATCATATACATAACACAAACTATGACAGTCCGAAATATCTAGCGTTTTACTGGGTTTTTTACGATTTGATATTTTACGTGCCAGGAAAACGTCAGAACCGGTGCCATTCCAAGTGGAGGCGGCATTCGCGGGTTGATTTTCGAAACTTGCGAACTGAATTAAATGTCTAACTCACAACTTATCAATAGTACAATACTTTTAGTACTCACAAGCATCGTTTTTATGGTTCGTTTATGAAATATACAATCCCATGAAAAAATTGTATCTGAGAATCGAGATTTGTTTTCATTTCGTGCATTTTAAAATCTTACAATTCCTGTATCGAAATGTGGAGTGATGTTTTCTTTTCATCGATATTAGTGAGTACTAGAGGCATTGTGCTACCTGTGAGTTCGGCATTTAATTCGTTTAGCGAGTATCGAAAATCAACTCCGGTTGCAGACGCCGAAATTTCCAGTTTTCATAATGGCGACGGTTCTGATGTTTTCCTGGCACGTAAAATATCAAATCTTAAAAAAGCCAGGAAAACAGATATTTTGGACTAAAACTATGATTGATTGGAATTTTAAAAAAAGATGGCTGGTACAGTAAAACGTATAAAAAGTTATAGCGAAGTTCTGGGGACCTGCGAATTTACTTCGCTATATCCGTAATTCGTTATATCCGTAATTCGTTATATCCGTATAATGAATTGATTAAAGTAAACATAGTGATTTCGCAATATACATCTTTTTTTCCTTCAGGTATGACTACCAAATGTATTTAGGGAAGTATACAAAAAAAAATTTACCGTGAAGTTCAAAAGTTCTTGGATGAATTGAATTACATATATAAATACTTAAAAAAATTAAGATTGAGATTTGCTATAAAAGATGTAAATTTTGTTATTTTTAACTTCTAGGGGACACAAAATCAGTTCGCTATAACCGTAACGTTTTTTAAAAAAGATGTGGCAGACTGTGTGCTGTCAATATATATGAATAAAAGTAAATTTGCAAATGAAAAATGATGTCCATATATCTAAATGTCGAAATATGAAGGCCACAGCAAGAATATTCTTCTCGTGTAGAATATTTTGAATTAATTCTGCTTCACAACCAAACATTACTCTGCACAATACCTAAACTGAATTTAATAATCTCATCACAATTTAACAATCATGTACAGAGATAAACATAATCAATGTTGACAAATTTAAACAGATTTGATAGCTGATTTTTCTGAAATGAGTCATTGAGGAAACACATGCCCTTTCTGATTTTTCAATTCATTCTAAGATGATAATATCGTTATTCAAAGGGATCTAAATAATTACGAAATGTTAGGTATAATTTAACACAAAGAAAAACCTTTCGAACATTTATTTAACATGATGGCCTTAAATAATAAGGTAGACAAAGAATCAATAACCTCTATTTATGAGAAAACGGGACAAAAGTACAAGGTGTTCGAAGCCGAGACAAATCAATGATCTTAAGTAAAGATAAGTTTTACCAACATGAGCATTTTACAAATATGCATTTAAAGCAATAATTTGATGTTGACGACTCTTCTTTGAATTGGAAAGCAATTGGTCAAAACATTTAATCTATATTCAATTTACATAGTAAACTGGTTTAAGATTTTCCTACACTGAGCTAATATTTCCTGGTTGTATTTCCATATTAATCGAAAAATTGTTTTTTTTTTAATTTATACGCACAAGTATGTGTCAGTTTAAAAAGAAAAAGTACTTTTTTAAATAAATTAGTAATGGTTCATTTCGGAAGGAAATATTACTTTACAACTCTTGTCAATTGTCGACTAGCTCCGGAGGCCAAAAGGGAACCCGGAAGTTTATCAAGAAACAAAATTTGATATATTTATATAATTTAATAAGAGTAACATTTTGATTTGAGACTGAGACGCGACTGTATGACAAGGATGAAAACGTGTTTTTAAATGAAACCCTCTGTTAATCTCTTGATGTAACAAGCATGAATAAAGCCTGTGAATTGTAAACGTACATGTACTTAAAAAATGGATTTTTACGCTAAATACGCGATAAGAAATAGTCTCCCGTATACCGATAGTATAGTACAGATTTTATTAAGTTTTAACTGTACTTTTTATTGGCATCAGGTAAATATTCCCTACATGTATAATTATATCCTCCTAATTCGCGTAATTAACAACATATATAAATGTTCTCCTATGACAGGCTTTTTTATATGTTTGTCTTTTTCAATTTATAACCACAATTGATTCTAAATAATTTTGATTGTTTATGAATTGACAGTTAAAATACCTACTCCAGTGGCTTCTAATCCTTTGTTTGCGATGTGTTAGACGTGATGAACAGGTGATTTTAGTGCCTTAAATTAATGTACATATTTACACTGAACTTCAAAAGATATTTTATAAACACATTTTGAATTTGCATTTATGGTAGTTTGACACACAATTTGTAAAATACCAAGATTATGAGATAGCTTAGAAAGCTGAAAAAAGGAAACATCAAGACAAAATTCATCCATTATTTTGAATATTAATATCAAAAAGCTTAAAAATGACAAGTTTTATATTTAACACATATGAATAAAGGTAAAAACACCAGTAAACATGATACTAGTCAGTATCTAGCTATTCCTGTCAAATATGCCCATGTGGAAATTTTTTTCAGTGTGTCAAGAAAAACCTTCAGACCTGATAGATGTAGGTTAGGGGATACAATATTTTAAAACTTCATAAACAATTAAAAAATGTAATAGAAATGTTATATCTGAGTGTTATATCTGAATCTGATATGAGTTTAAAATCAAGTGTTTAAAACCAAGTGTTTTCTTAAAATTTAATTTGTAATTTAATTAATTACATTTACAAGTAATTGTAATCTAATTGATTACATTCCAAATTCCTTGTAATGGTAATTTAATTGGAGGTTTGGGGTATTTAATTAGATTAATTACTTTCCCATGTAATTGATCCCATGCCTGGCGGTCACAAAAGCCGTGAGCTCTATATTTTTCGTAGGTAGACAGAAGGTTCAGTAGGCAAATTCAGTTAAAAAGAAAAGGAAAAAAAAATAACAAAAAAGTCTAACAATTGGTATGAAATATGTCAGTCTAATTACCACCAAAATTATGTTATGCTTACAAGGTGATTATATAGACCATTGGATTTACAAATTGCTGGCTATAAACGAGGTTGTTTGAATTCCCTAACATCAACTCTTCCTCGATTAAAATTTGATCGTACTCAGAGCATACTCTTGAGTATCCAATAAGCTGGCAGACATGAACACCATATACAGCTGATAGCGGAATGGTACTACATAAATAAATTTGACGAAGTATAACTATAATTTCCTTTCCTTAGAACAAATATTTTTGACATTCAATAAATGAATGACGAAACAATGATCAGTGATCAATCTCAGAATCCCTGAAACAATACAAAATTTTAGAGCAGGGCAGAAACATCAGAGGTGGGGTCAAATATTATGGAGGAGAAACTTTGTAATTTCGATCATCAACAATTAACAGAGACCAACACAAAATGTACATTAATTTGTAAAAAGTAGTTTACAACTATAGTAGGTTTATGATGCTTGCATAAAAGTTATGTATATTATTGTCTCTAAATGCGTGAAGTATAATCATGCTTTGGTGAGAGATATCCATGTAGGTCCAAAGAGAAAAATAAACTTTTATGACATAAAACTATCAGTATAAGAAAAACCGATATATACATTATCATCGACCCTTCATTATTATGCTTTTATTTCCTCAAATATACGTAGGTCTTATTTAAAGGATATCGTCGTTCATTGTTTTTTATTGATAAAGGTCAAGCAGTGGGTAATTTATATTCTAGAAATAAATTATTTAAGTTAAATATCAAATTCATATATTCTAAACATACCAAAGATTATACTGAAAATGATTTCGCATCATTCAATATAAATTTAAAAGTAAGTTGGTTTATTTATCTAATTGACAAATTCTTACCAGGATTCTTCTCCACCTGTCGCCATACTTTTTGAAGAGGAAGGTTTTTTTGTCAGATAATCATTTAAAAATCTATGACAAAAATATTTAAAATAGAAAAGCTAGCTTACTATTTAAAGTGTTTCATTATTACACTAACCAGGAAGCTTTTTCTTTCGTCACAGGATAGTTAAGTGTTTCATTTCCAATACAGTGTATTTTAAAGGTTTCAGATTTGCATTCACAAATTTAACCCGGAAATCTAGGTCACATTATATACTGCATAGTAAATAGTAAACAATTGAAATTTACTAATGTTAGATACTACAATGAATAAATCTAGACAGATTTGTCTCTCAATATTTAAAACTTTATTTGGAAAGAAATGAAAAGATTTTCACTCATGTTTAAATCAAACAAGATGTTTTTGTGAAACACTGATGCCCCCGTATGACAGCTTGTTCTCAATGAATATAGCTGTGAAATATGAAGGCTCAAGCACTAACCATTAAAAAGCTATGGCCTAGGTTAAAGTTTTTAAATTGTGGGTCAAACTCTAAGGTGAAGATTAAAGGGTCATATTAAAGGTACCCAGGGGAGGTCAAATATGTTGGTACCCAAAGAAAGGCCTTGTCAAAAGAAATACACATGTGAAATATGAGAGACATAGCTTCAACCCATCAAAAGTTATGGGCAATTTTAAAATTTTTGCAGACAAGCAGACAAACAGAAAGTTATACGGACCGACAGGGCAAAAACTATAATCTTCGATTACGGGGGCATAAAAATACGAATTCTGCATGGAATTTTTGGATCATAAATAATTACATTAAATGTCAATCCTTTTTTTTTCTGAACAAATCTTGCGATATTGTCGACATGCATATATATCTGCATGTTTGTAGCGACAAATTCACACCGAATTGACCAAAAAAGTAAGATATATGCATAAATAAGATAATTATTCTTAAATCTTGTTCTGCATATGAACGATATCAATTGTCCGACAACTGATAACTAAACCTTACTAGAACCACATGATGGAGAATGCTTCAGAACTGTGAGAAATTAGAAAAAATTGATAATTTTAGTTATAGATTAAAGAATTGTTGCCCCTCTAACCCCCTAGTTTGAGGGATTAGACACTTTTCCTTGATATGATATGAAAGACCTTATCCTTTCCAGATTTTGAATTAAATGAGTTAACAAAAATTAAAAGATAAAGAAATATTGTTTTTAAAAAAGGTGCTGAAACTCTAGAGGTATTTTTATCCGGGCTATATCGAACGTCAACATGCAGCAATTATTTGGATATGAAATGTGTACAGCGCATCTACTTATATTCCTATCATCGCTGAAAAAAGGGAAAAAAATCTGGCGCTTTTTCTTTGTATTTTTTTTTAAACTGGGCAAGTAGAATTTTTTAGACCACGAAAGCGACACAATCTTCGTTTGCGAGGTTGTGTTATTAAAGTAATAATTAGATTGTTTAAAAGATGGCGTCAAGCTCAACCTATTTTCCACCATTGCTGAAAGTATCATGACATTCTATCGAAGCGTTTTTGAGAAATCGTCTGCACAAAATTGGTTTAAAAATGATAATAGTGGAAATGAAGAAAAAAACAAAACACAATAGAATAATATATAAAAAGGTTTTCCGAAGGAAATGGAAGACTAAATCTGTACTTAGACTGAAATATGGAGAGAACGAACAGCATTCAAGCTCAAAGTCCATTAAAACAATACAAATCAGGAGCAGAACAAACACGGACCTCCAAAAAACAAAGGTGGGATCAGGTACCATGGAGGAGTGAGCATCCCCCGCCGAGCGGTCACACCCACCGTGTGCTCCTTGTCATGATCGGTAAATAACAGGAAAAAAAAAGTCGACAATTCAATGTGTAAATAATGGCCTAACAATTAGTATGAAAAACGTCAGTCAGCATATGACTTAATGATAGATTGTATTTGCTGACAAGGTCATTGTATCGACCATAGAACTTATGAAATGATGACTTTAAACGAGACTGTTGATATTCTTGTCTCATTAACTTGTTTGACAAAAACTTGCCTCCTTTTAGAAATGGTTCATACGTAGAGCATGCCCTTGCATATCGAATAATACATATTTTATGTTTCATCATTATTACTCTACTTTAGGAAGAGGGCTAAAATAGGCTTTGCCTGCTTCTCAATCCCATTCACCTTTTTGTGAATTAAATTTATAAATTGTAAATTCAATTATTATTACTTAATTACTTATAATTTTTATGTTAATAATTATTTGTTGATTAACATTTAGAAAGTAAAGGTACCTTGACTTTTGAACGAAAGGGGGAGTATCTTTTCACCGCTTCGGAGTCGAGGGAAAATGTAAGTTACGTCTTTCTTTGGTATTTGAAACGAATTCTTTATGTCTTTCTTCGGTATTTGAAACAAATTCAGAAAAATAAATATCGCACGGAAGACAGCGATAGTTAAGCTTGTTATTGGTTCACTGGTCCGGTTACCATACTCGTCTAGTACTCTCAAACACTTCGAAATTATTTGACATATTTCAAATTCTTTATGCTTAGTTGTCAAAACAAAAACATTTGCACAATCCACGTCTTGCATCGGGGTTCAGACAAGTCAAATTGGGACAAAAACGTTTATCTTTTCAATGCAGCAATTAAAAGTTTACCAATCTTTGGAAAAATTAATAAAATGGGCATTTGTCTTCGGATAGTACATATATGTATCTGTTACAAAGAGGGGAATCGTTACTTGAAAAATAGACATCGGAAATTAATCACAAATAAACACAAATGAACTATATTGGGGATATTTGTTATATTTTTTAACCATATAAAAGTAAAAAAAAACGAGTTTAATTCATTTTTTGTTTTCTCTTCTGATATCAAGTCTATGTTACAGTTTAATTTAATCTGAGATATATGTTTCTCAATGATTTATTCCTATATAATTTACAGACATGTTCAATAAATTATCCTAGGACTATATTATGTCCAAGGAAAGTCTTAGAAAAGGTTTTATTCTTTAGACATATCCTGTAAGCTAAATCTTCTAAATCTAGAATCTTGCCAAAACTTCGTCTTAACATCAAAATAGCCCTCCCCCCTTCCCCCCGCGTTCAAAAACCTCAGTTTTTGCTTGTTATTAAAATACGAAAGTAATGTGCAAAAATTGAAATTTGAAGAAATTTTCTTCTCTGAGAAGGAGGAATTCTGCATTTAAGTTTAACAAAGGGCAAGCTGATGATAAGAATTCTTTATACACTATTAAATTAAGTTATTCTTGTGATACTAATGATTTATGTATTTGTACATTTACAAGGTCAATTGTATTCAATATCACCAAATTTCGGACATTGAAAAAGATATATTAGTCAATATTCTTTTGACATTATGGTGGCATATTTCTGCGAACTAAATGCAAATTATTTTTTCTATAGATTATGTCAACATACAAAATAATCATGTCAACATGCAATAAATAATTATATATGTCAACTTACAACATAAATATGTTGACATGCAAGAAAAATGTGTTCAAATACGAATTCAGGAAATTCTCATACACTATGTACAGTGGCACATTTCTGCCCCCTACATGCAAGATAAATTATGTAAACATGCAACATAATTATGTAGACATTCGAGTTATTTACGTCTATATGCATTATAATTCTGTTGACATGCAAGTTATCAATATTTATAGAGAATCTAATTTAAATGTTGGTAAACTTACTTACTTATGCCAGTATACGACATCATACATTCAAACAAGATGCAATATAATTATGTTGACATCAACTTATTTATGTTAACATGCAAGATATTTATGTCAACATGCGACTTATTTATGTTTTAAAATTAATGTTCAGCATAATAATGTTATCATGCAACATTATAAATGTCAACATCCGAATTATTTTTGTCAACATGCAACTTATTTATGTCAACATGCGATGCTATATTTTAACAGGCAAGATATTTATATCAACCTGTATGCAAGATAATATGTTGCATGTCAACATACATATACTGCATATTGACATAATTAACTCGAATGTTAACATAATTATCTTGAATGTTGACATAAATAAGTTGCATGTATAAATAGTAATTTTGCATGTTGACATAAATAAGTTTCATGTCTACATAATTATCTCGAATGTTAACATTAATAAGTCGCATGTCAACATAATCCTGTTACATCTTGCTTGTATTATGTCATATATTGGCGTTAGTAGTTAAGTTTACCAACATTAAAATTAGAATCTCTACAGAGATTGATAACTTGCATGTCAACATAATTATTTTGCCTGTTGACATAAATAAGTCGCATGTCTACATAATTATGCTACATGTTAACATAATTTATCTTGCATGTAGGGGCAGAAATACTCCACCATAAGTATGAAATATCGCCATGCTAGAGGAATTTATTTATGTCAGTATGCAATTTATTTATGTAAAAACGGTTTGTATACGTATTTATGTAAACAAGTAAATAATTTATGTTGACATGCGAGATAAATATGTTGACATGCAACTTCTCTATGTTGACATGTAATTTACTTATATTAATTTGAATAACCACATTAATTTGAATAAGTTGCATGGCGAGATAAATAAATTGCATTTTGACATAAATAATTTGCATGCAAACATAATTTAGTTGCATCTACCATATCGGAAGTCACATGTTGGCAATATTTGATCATTTATGAAATTTTTCGAATTCTGATATGATCACATTTTTCTTGAATATCAATATAGTTATGTTGCATGTTGACATAATCATCTCGTATTTTGACATAATCTATAAAAGAAATGCTTTTATTATATATTATGGATAGAAATATGCTACCATATGACATAGATAAGGAAATACATATATATTGTAGACTTCCTTTTTTCCACGGGTTCATAATTCCGCGGAACCTCAATTTCTGTTTAATCGGCGGGTAGAAATTTACACGTATTTCTTAGACTGTCATTATATACCTTACAGATATATTAAGTACGATGTGACAAATTTCCACGGAAAATTTGTGACCGTGTACATAGCGTAAATTATTACCACGCGGAAAAACGTACTTCTGTAGTATTTAAAAGTGTCGTAACTAACGAAAATACTGATTTGAAATTGCAGACAACAGTATCAGAATGGAGTTATAGATAATCAAAAGTTGACACAAGAAAGGGCGTATTTTTAATTAACAAGATTAAATAGCAGGAGTGTTTTGTTGAAAAGTTCCAAATACTTTTGTTGGGCAAATCCCTTACTGACAATTGATAAGAACGTCTTATAGACTGCACTGCATATCAAGTTGTGCCTCAACGTAGATATTTTATAATGAAGTTAATTGCTAAATGGTAATGCGTGTTATTTAAAGCAAAGAGAATGGATTTGCAAGGTCAAGTAACTTGAATTTTTAAGGTTCATTATCCCTCTGTTCAAGAAAAGATTTTTTACTTGACAAATCCGTGAAGGAATAGTAGTAATATAATCAAGTGAGAGTTACCTCTCTTATCAGAGGATCATTAAACCTTAAAATGCAAATTCATGCAATATTTAAGACTTCGCTTGCCTTCTCAAAACGGAGTTAACAATAGAAGATGAAGTGCACATTTCTCTCATTTGCTTCGTTCCTGTTAGTTAGTTTCGTATGTCTTTCAACGATAAAATTTTGCGGATGCCTCTTGACGCATGACCATACGACCAAGGCCATTCCAAATGTTAATTCCATAGAATCGGCACTTATACACCAACTTCTTACAAAACAGATGTCAGATCTGGAAAACAGCGTCCGTTTGTTAACCGAGGAAGTGTCAAATCTCAAAAAATATCAATCTAACAACGATAGAGAAATGGCTGACCTTAAGAGGCATAACCAGGGACTTTCTCAAAGGCTGATCACTCTTGAAAATACCTGTAACTGCACCGCTTTAACTACTGATAAAATGGCTACTCAGGAAATCAGGCTGAACAAATTAGAAAATGATGTAAATGGTACTGTGTTGTTGGTCCGTACCTTAGTTATTAACAGTGAAAAAGATCGTAATGAGACATTGCAACTGGACAGCATTGTTTCCATGCTACAGGACAGTCTTCAAAGGGTTAATCTATCCGTCATGGATAGCAATAGAATTTTGGAGAAAATCAGTTCAACATTTGAGATGTTCAAAAATGAAATTAACTTAAAAATACAGAAAGTTTCAGGTGTGTTCTATTGATATATTCATTTTGAATTTTCATTTGATATTTTTATCTTTCTTTTTTGTTGATTTCTTTGAAGTTCTTGGCTTGTTTGTTTTGTTTTGTTTCATTGAGTTATTTTTTCATATACAGTGTATAATCTTAGTTGTAATTTTAAACGTTTTGATTTTGATTCTGTTATTTTTCGGATGGAAAGGATTGTTTACTTTTTTTTTTTATTTCTAATAGAATAATTATAGAACAAACATCTGTTCTTTTTTGTTCGAAGATCAAGACAAAGTTACCAATACGAGAGTCAACAATCTAATATCAGACATTCGTAACGGAAACCTAGTAACGCATAGCATTGTAAATTCTATCAGTAATTTGGAATCGAATGTCCGAGGTATGTGTTTTTTTTTATTTATTCAATAACAAGAAATATATTTTAAGTTTTTCTTGATTGATTTGAACATATTTTATTGTGTAACACGAAAGGATCGGAAACAAGTTCCGCTCCTGGTGTTATTAAAGTTAATACAGTTAGAACATTTGTCATAATAATAACATATCGAGAATAATATTGGCATATGGCATAAGTAAATTGAAATGTTAATCAAATCTTCCAAGTTTTTCTGGATTTTTTTTTATACGAAGTACTGGTCTGGAGAAAAAATGATTTTTAAAAGGACTCATGTCAGAGAAATTCATATTTGAATTTCGTTAAAAAGATGCAATGGACAATTTTGGTTAACAAACTTCCTTACTTTCAGTTAAATAATCATCATTCTATCATTATTTCAGAAATTCGAAACCATGTCGGTTTTACAGCAGGTGCAACCTCTAGCAATTCGTGGTCAGGATCTACGCTAGTGTTCAACAAATTAATCTTCTCTAACGGGGGCGGCTATAGTACTTACTCCGGTGTTTTTACCTCCCCCGTGACAGGGACTTTTGTCTTCTATGTTGCTGTGATTTCTGATTCGAACATTGATTTATATTTAGATATTGTGTTAAACGGTGTCAGTAAAGTGAGAACGATGTCCTATTTCACTTCCGGTGCACATTCATATCAAACAGGGACGAATCTTGCTATATTACATTTAAGTGTTGGAGACAGAGTGTGGGTGAGGAAATATAGCGGAAGCACTTATGCTACACACAGTGATGCACCACTGGTAACCTTCAGTGGATTTCGCTTATAAATTAGTAGCTGTAAACTTGAAGTCATTCTTCTTTTGAAAAATAAAGTTGTGTCTTGTAATCTATGTTTATATCATGCGACGAGACTCGAAACGCCGTATAATAATTATACGGTTGAACTTCGTCATCTCGAACACATTTACTCCCAAGATATAATACTTTAATTTTAACAATGAAATGCTTTCTTTGTAAACCCAATAATCAAAAGATTTAATTTACATTTGATGACAATTTATCTATAATTCAGTATAGAATAGAATTCAAAATTGTACGTTTAATGTTGGGTCAATAGATTCGAAATTGACGCTTTAAGGATAAATAACACACACTTTGTTCATAAATCATCAATATTTCTCATAGATTTATATTTAAATTGGTAACCTGAATAATGTTTGCCAGGTGAAGTTGAAGAATTTGTAGAATTTTGTCATAAGGTTAAAAGCTGTGCAAAATTTTGTATAGAATTATATAGAAAGCTACACAAAGTCACATATCTAAGCATCAAAGAAATCTTACGATTTCTCTATATTTTAGGGATAACATGTAATTATTTATGTCATTTCTAATCAAAATCAGTCAAAATATATATATTAATCCATGCATCAAATTTTTGGTTGTGTTAAGTATCCTTTACATGTATATATACGTATGACTAATTGATAGCAATAATGTTTAACAGACACTTTTTACATCAATCACTAGTAAATTAATAAGTCTTCTCTGATCCAGACAACCTTTTACTGATTGCAGAGGTCTTGAATTATAATATTCATACTGAACTAGGCATCTGCGAGCATACATTTACTTCTTATTCATTACAAAAGAGTATATTTTGTCGATATCAGTTATCTTTTTCGCAAACGTAACCCTGTTTTGAGCTACATGTAAAATCTCCCCAATAAAAAGCATTGCTATCATCGGGAAAATAACACAGACATCTTTCTACTGTAGGGCTATTGGGCTCTGTTGGATGAAAGAATGTGTATCCAATGTTTTCACCGGTCGATTCCCATTTCCAATCACCTACTTTTCTCAAAGTGTTCCCACCGATCCAAAAAATCCATGGTAATTTATCTGCAACATAAATTTTGTGTATCAAAGAAAGTTCTTGTAAAAACTTCTGTGTCAATTGATTCATTAACGAACTTTAAAGCTAAAAACGTTCGTTTAAAGATACACTGACCATTGCATAATTCGGACGAAGTGAGATATTCTGACGAAGTTATCATTTGCTGCCGATTTTCCTAATATTTTAGAAATACTGCAAGCATGTTGTTATAAATAATTAAAACTTTATTCAAAAAGTAAACAATTAAAAATCCATTTTTAACAAAATTAACAATGTACTCTTTTCAAAATGAATTATATTTTGGAAAGTAAGGACAAATTTTTATTTGTGTACAAATACAGATTTGATGTTTTAAATTACGAGAAATCAAATCGATTTAAACCACAAGAAAGCCATACTTCGGGTATAAGTGTCGAGTTGTAATTACTATTAAATACTTTACGTTCTCGTTTCAATATGCATATAGCTTGCCGATATCATGTTATAACGAATCGTTAAAATTCTTTACTTAAAAACCTTAAAAAATAAATTCTGGATTGATGTGTTCAAGTACTGGGTTGATTTGAATAAAAATTGTACTGATTCTGATGTTACTGTAGACTCTCCACTGTTTTATAACTCTATGATCCATATTGGAGGGAAAACCTTTCATAGTAAAAAAAACTTTTTGACAATAATATTAGATATATTAATGATATTATTAGAATAGATGGCATTTTTTATAGTATGAATGCTTTTGCAATACTTATCCAGATATAAATATTAACTTTTTAGAATATTCTTGATAAATCCGTGCAATTAAAGGTTAGATAAAGAGGAGCAATCTTGATAAAAATTTACAAAAATCAGAAAATCCTCGTATTATGTCTAATTTTTATCTTGTATCAAAATGCAAAAAATTAAAAAACTTCTACCAAAGTCTAAATAAAAATTATTCTGCAACAGCTGGTTACAAAAAATGGATTGAATTATTTGATTTGGATAGCATGGAATGCAAAATAATTCTAAAATATTACCATTCCAAGTAACAAAAAACTGTAAACTCCAGTAGTTTGAGTACAGAATTTTAAATAAATTCTAACTCTTTTTTTATTTAAAATCAGAAAGGTTGTTTCTAAGCAGTGTAATTTTTGCCAAAAAGAAGAAGAGACAATTGAACATATCCTATGGGAATGTGATCTTGTACAATCACTCCTTGAAAACTGAGAATATTATCTCCAGCAAAAAAACCTCCATTTGTCTTTAACAAAAAATCATTCATTTTAGGTATTGGAGAAAAAAATAATGAAATGATTAATATCTCAATCTTATGGTTAAAATATTATATTTATACTTCTAGATGCTCTGAAAAACCTCTAAATGTGGACTCTGCGATATCACACTTGAGCTATTTTTACCAAACACAAAAATATATATCATATAAAAATGGTGAAAAAGAGAAATTTGACACTCAGTGGAACAGGTGGAACCAACTATTTTTGTAACTTTCTCTCTCTCTCTCTCTTTTAATTCTATATATGCACAATTCTGCTTTAAAAAAGATAAGGAACATTTTGTATAGAATGAATTGTGTTGAAAAAATGAAATAATTGAAGAAAATTCTTTACTTAAAGCATGGAGTTGTTGGATAATCCAGTCATTTTCCCTGGGTGTTTCCACTTTAGCAAGATAAGCGTTTTTTGTGTTGCATGCAACCTGAAAAAAATTATATAACAGCAAAGGTAAAATGTCCATCCTGTACATTCTAATCAAAAGATAATATAAATCAGAAGAAAATCAAAATGTTTATAAGAAGATCGCAAAAAAAGTTATTCCTAAAATCAAATACATTGCTTACATAAATATATAAATATAATATACATCATTATGTTAGCTCAATATTATATTTATATATATAGATCGATCCTTTTTTCTTCGTGTTTAAGGTATATGTATACATACTTTGCTTTCAAACCAACTTTTTTGTCCATCCCAAACATATAACAATGTCCATTGAATTCTATCCACGGATAATTACACATAGTTTCAGCAAAACCTGAAAAATGCCAATTTTCAATGGAATCCGATAGGAAAACGTAGATCACAATTGTACTTGTAACGGTAAAAATTGCTTGTATAAATAATGCGAACCGAACACCGTATTTTTAACCTGATAATTGTGTTTTTTATAGAGGTTTTGTCCTTGCTCCAGGTTTTTAATTTTATTTAGGAATTATGATATTAAAAAAAATTATATAAAAACGCTATTTGACAATTTATTAAGAAATATATTCTGTCATTGGGTATTTTAGCTGACTTGTTTCATACCAATTGTTAGGCCTTTTTTTTCATACTGAATTTGACTACGGAAAGTTCCGTCTACCTGATCAATACATTGGGGCTCACAGCGGGTGTGACCTATCAACAGGGGATGCTTACTCCTCCTAAGCACATGATCCCACCTCTGGCATTTCCAGGGGTACGTATGTTATGCCCTTTGCTTCACATTGTTGTGTTTATAGATTTTTTGAGATCGTTCACTGTTCGTTCTCTTCACCTTTTACATTTGTATCACCGGGGAAAATAAGGTTTTTTTTGTTTGTATGTTGTTTAACGTCCCTCTCGAGAATTTTTCACTCATATGGAGACGCCACCACTTGCCGGTGGAGAGCTGCAAATTTTGTCCTATACTCGGCACTTACGGCCATTGAGCAGTGAGGGATCTTTTTCGTGCCAGCACCTTCTGCGACACGGGACCTCGGTTTATACGGTCTCATCCGAAGGACCGATCTCCATGTCCCACAGTGGGATTCGAACCCGCGTCGTAAGGATCAACTCCTTACTCCGCGACTCTAGAGCAGACGCTCTAACCACTGCGCCACGCGGGCGAGGGGAAAATAAGTGTAAAACATTCCGGCAACAATAAAACAAAAAATGCTAATGATGGAATAGCACTCTTTTTATAAACTTAGGTCGGTAGGGCGAATTCTGGAAATCCAAAAATTCCACCCAAACAATCCGAAGCTTAGGACTTGACTAATTAACAAAGATGTATGTAACATATAAAAATACAATATAACAATGAAAATTAGCACAATGAGCATGAGTGACAGATGGCTTAAATAGAATAAATCATGATAAGTAAATTTATCGACACATTTTGCGATAAACAGTAATTAGCATAGTTATAGTCTTTCAAGGTGTTAAAAGTAATTATAGTTGTTTCTAAGTAAATTTCTAAATCAGCTAAAACTTCAATGAACGTGTCCCTAAAAACGGCTAATTCACAAATTAAACCATGATATTTGTATCATTTCAACAATTTATTTTGTTTTTTTATGTCAAGTCAAGTATTTTCTATGAATTGAAAGAAGTACTATACTAAAAGAAACACAAAACATATTACCTGCATATTGTTTGTAACTCTAAAGGAATATTTTATCGGTAAACTTTTTTGATGATTCATTGAAATTTAATAATGTAGGAGTTTGACTTAGATTTTTAAAGAATTTTGATGGTCTATTCACTAAACACAAAACACAACTCTCTGCGAAGAATTTTCTCATGTTTAATCAATATCGTTATAGATATTGTCAGTATCGTGTTGTATCGTGCTGTTTACATGTAATGACATATCTCTATGTCTATCAAAGGAAATTCGTCATATAGTTTTAAATTTAAACTGGTAAGATTCTTTAATATTTTACAAAGCTAAGAAAACTTCATTGTTAAGTTATTAAAACAATTGTCACAATCAGATATCAAGATATACATACCAACAGCAAAGAAGAAACAATAAACAATGCAAAAAAGAAATGCAGGACTTTTGAAATGCATCCTTAAAGGAATGGAATGCCTTGCTTTATTATTTCAACAGAAGTTTTAAATTGCTATATATTGAATCAGATATTGAACTAAATATTGCAACAGCTTGAAGCATATTGAACTACTGACTTTGGAAATAAAATAAATAACTTCAAAATGAAGTACTTTACTGATAAAGCAGTACTAGAGTTTTGATTTTAAAACAATTTCCTTCAGAGTTGCGATAGTTAAAATGCAAATAAATTATATTGATTAATACTGGCTAGAAAATAACTGTAGTTTATTACACTCGTGTTAGGTAAATATGTAATTCAATACTTGGCAGATGTGCAGATGATTGATTATAACGGGAAAGGGAGAAAAAAATTATCTACAAAAATTTCGAAATTACAAACTGCAATTCGAAAGGCAGTGATAGAAAAAAAAATAAACATGTGTTTCAATTAAATTGTTTAAACGAGCCAGATATGAGATCTAAAGTTTGCTTTTCTAATTACAGTTTGTTAGAAATTTGTATCTCTCAGCCGGTATAAAAATTTCAAGTGTTAAAACTTCACTGAGACAGCTTCACACAAACCTGCAGCAAAGCTTGTTTAGGTAAAAAAAAAAAAAAGGATTACAAGAATTGGCGATAAGATGACTTTATTTTTCTACATGTATATGGCATTACTTCTACGTCAGCCTTGGGACCAAACATGTATGTTTCTTGTAAATACAAGATATAACATTAACAAAAAGAAACACCTAGATTCCAAAATAATTTAATTTTTGTTAAAGGTTATTAAATGACTCATGTGAGGTTTGCAAAATATTGCTTGAAAGTATGTGATATGAAATTCATCGTCAGGTTTTAAATCCTAACATGACCAGATTGTAAATATGACCAACCAGTCCTGAATTACAAAGAAGTACTCGTACATGTATTAAGAACATGAACTTGGTTCCCCTTTGGCTCTCACAATATATTTCTGAAAAGTACCCAACCTCTATCCAGACACATGTATATTGTAATTTGTTACATGTATAGTCATGGTTATTATAGGTTCAAGTCAACTTGAAAGTATAAAGAAATATAAAAGTTTCCTTTTTTATTAGTCTACATCTAACATGCGACTCGAAAAACATATATGAAATAAAGTGAGTTCAAAAGATTTATTAGAATAGATTAACTTGGTCTCTCTAAGACAAAAATCGAAATTCAAACCAATAACAAAAAGATATTAAATTTTCAATATGTACAAACGAAATGAAATCATTCATCAGAAGGCAATACTTGTGGGTTGCAAATCATGCGGTCAATTTTTCTTTTAAAATCAGATTTATGGATATACTTTTTAAATTCAATGAAAATTTTCTGTTACGATAACTATGAAATATTTAAAATCGTCATTATGTCTTTTATGCAGGAACATTTTATTCAATAAAAGTCAAAAACATAACCATTTGTTCCCAACATTCGTAAAATAAACTTTCATAGAATCAACAAATATGAAATGAAAATGAACTTTGCTATTCTGTGTTTTTTTAAATATGCTATTGTTAATCATGTATTTGACATTAAATATAGAACGCCTACATAATATACTGTGTCCCACGGTACCAAGGACCTCACTTATCGCCTCATATCTCTAAATACCTTGGTCTTCTAGCCAGCTTCGATCGATAGATATTTTTTTTTTTCAAACTTCCTTTAACGAACCCTAGAGTGCAACCAGTGTGTTGACATGGCGGCAAATTCAAAGTCTACGGGGATTTAACATTGCCAAAATAGCGGTTACTTCGCAAGGGGATCCAACATTATTCATGATTTTCCGTACATCGCCGTCAGAGACGTAATGACGTAACACATGGTCGCTCTGTGCTTACCGACGTACAAAACGCAATACAGCCCGAGACTCTCCAAGTGTCCAATAAATTGCAAAACAGCATCTTCGACATACCTGGGAAGAAGTGTTTAATACTGATAAGAAAAGAGACTCAGTTCATATCTACTTTAGAAGTCATAACTGACAAAAGTAATCTGTAATGGATAGAAAGATCGAGGCTACAACAAAATTCATTACTTTACCAACAAAGAGTATGATAGATCTATCTGTAAGCAAGTACTAGTATGTTCTAATAATTTAGATTTGTAATTATTAACAACTTTACCTTTGCCTCGTAAATAAATCCAACACACTGGACAGTATACTATAGTTTGTTGCAAACACGGTTAAACAGTTTGTTGAACATCATATCACTTCTATCAATGAATTCACAATGCTTCCTGGCTGTGTTGCATTTATAGACTTTGAATTTGCCGCCGTGTCAATACACTGGTTGAACTCGAGAGTTTGTTTAAATGCAGGAAGTTTGTAAAAATAATGATCCATCGATCGAACCTAGTTTGAAGGCCAGGGTATTTATACATTTTAAGATATGAGTCGAAAAGTGAGGCCCTTGGTACCGTGGGACAGACTACAATTTATGTCTAACAGTCATTTCATTCAGAAATAATGATTTGCATAGAGTGGATCATCATTTTTCACTTCAGGCACTATTTCAACGAGATCCAAAGTGTGATATATGACAACAAGATAATCCCTACACGCCATTATCAGGTATTCATGATTGATATCAAAAGAAAGTGGAACAGGAGTGTTAGAAATATCTTTTATTTCATACTCTCTGTGGCTTAACTTCCGAGTCTAAAAATTCACAAAATGTAATTTTCTACCTGTTGAATTTCCAACAACAACACTGTTCTTAAAAATGCCAGGTTTCGATGGCGAGAAATGTTCACCCTTTGGGCTTTCCCATCCACTTGTATTGTTTTCCCTCTCGCAGATTACAACTCTCTTTAAGCCTAGTACTGTATCGGAAATCAAAGTCTAATCCTGTCACCTATTTCCACAGAAACATACGTTGGTTGTTTAAGAAACCATAATAACTTTACCGTATTTTTAAAGAATTTTTCCAGTCCCATTCTTAGAAATGGTATACTCGATAACTTTTTTTTTCTTTGGTTCGCAGACATTTACTTTTAAGGATGCTATAAAAATCTTATCACAAAACAGTACCGATTTTTCCCCCTCAGTTTGAAGACGTGGATTGCTGCGGCTGAAGTTACTGAAAAAAGAAAAAATAAATATAGAAAATTGTGAAAACTTTCTTATCTGTAGTATTCAGCTATTAAATTCTGAAAAATTTATATAATAGAAATTAATTAGTCCCCGAGGGTCTCTACAGCCCAGTAGCTAAGTACATGTACTTCGGTACTATCTTGAAAAGACGGTATTTATTTTATTGCTGTGGTAAAATTTAGGAATTTATTTCATAAAGAAGGATTATCTCCTTCATGCATAACTCTGATCCTCCGACATATTTGACTCCAGTCTTGGCACCCCTTTTTCAGCTCTTTTCCAAGTTTATTTTTTATTTTAAAAATTCGGATTTCCAAGGTTACGGCATGAGTATCACTAAGGAAACATAATTTGTCGAAATGCACATTTGTTGAATCAAAATTGGAACCGTATAAGATTTACATATCTGGTTTTTGATTAGCGAGAACCAATGTTGTTTCAGAAATGTCGGTTTTATGTTGTTTAAAATAGATACATAGGGTTTGTTAAATAATTGATTCTTGGTTTATGTATTTATTTAGGCTAAAGCGATTTCGAGAACTGCTGAACTAATTTTTGCAGAGTTGTAAATCTTTGTTATTCATGTCTCTTCAGAGACCACAAATATTTCTAGGTAAATTTGACAAATCTCGTAGGCTTCTGATCCCACCTCTGTTGTTTTCTTTGGTCCATGTTTTACCGTGTTCTCAATTTGCATTGTTTATATGATTTACGAGATTGACCACCATACGTCATCTTCATCCTTTTTGCACAATTGCAATGTCCTGGTGTTATGCTATGTCCTTAATGTTATTGAGACAAATGAATGATGATTCCATCTTTAGTAAGTGATCTTCGCATGACGTCGGCCTTTTATTCGAATTTCCTTTGATAAGGAACACAAAGTTTTGTTTTTTAACGTTCAAAACTTTTAATTCACAAAGAAAATCTTAATTTAGGAGTTTCCTTAAAAGTACACATGCATTTTTACATTATAATGTTTTTTTTTCATCTTCCTGGTTTGCCTTTGATATTGATCGATTTACCAGGTATTCTTTTATATTTACAGATACAATTACCTGAAGTCTTAAGAGGAAATATTTCAAAAAATACTCATATTATATTTTTCTAGAATTTGCCGATTAGCCAAACTAAGAAGCACAAAGAGGAGACGGAAGGTTACTGGGTCTAAAAATTGACTGATGCATATATATATATATATATATATATATATATATATATATATATATATATATATATATATATATATATATATATATATATATATATATATATATATATATATATATACAACAAGACGTTCCGACCGATTAACCGGTTAATTATATCTTTCTATTTTTGGTCAATTGAATTTGCATGCTTTGTTTTTCTTAATGTGGGTATGATTTTTAAACCATACAAAGCCTACACCCATAAAACGTAGAATTAATACTAACGTTATTTTAGATCGAAATGTAAAATCAATAAAGCGAATCATAGGTCCGACACTTATTTTGGCAGATAAAACTAATAAGTGATTTCCTGCTACAATGAAATTATGAATAAAACTTTTAATTTAATTAGATTGAATAATTAATGTTTTTTTTTAATTATTTTCACTCCATCAATTTTAATTTTTTGTCAATAATGATTTATTATTGATTGTATGTTGTTTTACGTCCCATTCGAGAAATTTTCACTCATATAGAGACGTCACCATATACCCGTGAAGGGCTTCAAATTTTGACCTTTCTCGGCACTCAGGGCCATTGAGCAGTGAGGGATCTTTATCGTGCCAACGCCTGCCGTGACCCGGGACCTCGGCTTTTAAGGTCTCATCCGAAGGACCCCCACTGTCACTTCAAAGTGCCGAGCGCATGGCGAAGGAACAGTTGCTACCCATTTTTTTTTATCAACTTAGGTCAGTCGCGGCCGAGATTCGAACTCACGACCTCCCGATCACGGAGAGAGCGCTCTACCGACTGAGCTACCGTGAACGGTCAAAGATGAACATTCGTGTACGTAAAGGTATCTTCACTGAACATAAAGTCAAACCAATTTTCAATGCTACACTCAACTTCATGCAGTATTTATATTTATTATGTAATATTGTAAAATTCCCATGAATTTCCTTATAATTATACAGTATTTGTTCGTTTAAAATTGTATAATCTTTATTACATTGTTTGCATATATTATCTAAGCATTCTGCGAAATGCTAATTTAAATCAAGAAAATTTAACATGTACATGTATTTACAATGTTATACTTGTGATGGAGCTTAGTCAGCTTTGTCAGGGCCCCATCCCTGGCAGCTGCCAACTTATTAGTTTATATAAAATCTGTTAATAAGTAGGATCTGGGAAATAAATATATATATATATAAAAAATTATGTTCTATGTGGGCAAAAATGTGTGCTTCAATTTCTTTCGTACTATATATATAGAGAGATTCTATATCTTAGAACAAACTATCAAAGTTTCAAACAATTTGAATTTGAGAAAAATTTGGCCTATCTGTTTTGTACTACCTTAAAACATCTTCGAACGGTCAAATGTTTTACAATTATTTCTGTCTTATTTTGTTTCCTTAGATAACTTTCGCAATTGTTAATCTATATAAACAAAAGAATATCTTCCAACACCTAAAACTTCCACGTCTTTAAAAAAAATATCTTCCAACACCTAAAACTTCCACGTCTTCAAAAAAAATGAAAAACATTACTTCCTTCTGTTGTCAAATATATAAATGACCACTATTGTTGAAATTAATAAATGGGTTACACGTACTTCCGTGCAGACTTAGTTCTTACACATACCATTTTGAGATAAATTTCGTTTAGATATTTGATGTGCATTGCATGGTTATTTCGAATAGGATACTATATATTTCTGATAATAGGTATGTATCGGTAAAATGAAAGCTTTTTGTAACGTTACTGTAAAAGTACCTTTTCCTCTTTACTTTCATTAAACCCAACATTTATACAATAGATTTCTTTTAGATCAATTCTCAGTAATTACAAAAAACGAGAGAGAGAAAGGGGGAGAGATGGAAATAATGTCTCTGAAATTTTAAGAACAATTAGTATAAGATGTTTGATTTAGGTCAAAGCAGGACAATGTTTTGCAGGAATTCTATCATCCTTAATATTTTCTTTCATGATTACAGGTCTTATGTTTGAGAAATATAACGAGGAAGATAATTGAAACTATTATTAATTCATTGCAGTTAAAAATAAATTAAATGAACATACGTCTTTTTTAGCAATGTCGACGAGAGGCTGGATCCCTATTTTGATGTTTTTGGTTATGGTGGGAGGAACCAGATATAAATGTCCCTTCAGCAGTCTATGCATGTGTACAGCCCATAACAAAAGTGTTTATGCTGATTGTTCACGACAGGGTCTTAGCAAGGCACCAGACTTTCCTATTTATGTCACTGGCATAAATTTAGCAAGGAATAACTTTTCGAATATACCCCAAAATCTTCCAAAGACTCTGCTTTATTTTGATATATCTCATAATATGTTATATACATTGAATAATACGTCACTGGCCAGGTATATGCATCTTCGAAACTTCAGCATTTCTTGGAACAGACTATTTGAGGTTCAGAAGGGCACTTTTCACAAAGCATCAGATCTTGAAAATCTGGACATTTCTAACAATAAAGTACTCACCATTGATGTGATCTCTAATATCTCTCAGGATCTAAGGAAATCAAGTATAAAAACTTTAAATTTCGAAAAGCTCCAATGCACATATGGTGTTAGCCAGATCTTAAAAATAAACCACATTGCATATTTGAAAAGTACCACATTACTAGAACTAAATTTAGCATCAAATAGAATAAACAGTCTGGAAACAGGCGCTTTGGCTTTCCTACCGAAATCTCTTCTTGTTCTAAATTTGGCGGATAATGTGTTGAGCTTTGGCCTTTACATCATTGAGTTTGCATCTTTACAAAGTTTAGAGATCCTGAACGTCAGCTTTCAATCTACTTTTCATCAAAATCTCATGAGCGGTGATGTCTTCGAAAAGTGCAATGATACACGGAGAAATCCAAACTTGGAAGTGGAATTGCATGAAATAGGGAAGCATTACAATATGACATCTTATGAAGATAAACTTTTTCCTAAAATGGATAATTTTCTAAAAGGGAATTTCAACTACACGGTTTACCTTCCTCCAAATCTACGCAAATTTTATTATCATGACAATTTATATAAAATGAGTATCCCCAAATTTTCTCTTGGGTCTCAAACTAAATTAACTCACGTATTTGCACAACAAAATATCATCTATGAGGTAATTGGACCAGTCACAGGTTTAGAAAGTATTAAGTATATTGATTTTTCTGGTAATTTTTGTGGTTTTATTTCAAAATTGTTTTTAAAATCGTTTTCAAAACTTGAATATCTGAATTTGTCGAATAATGCATTGGGCCATGTTTTTGAAAATGATAAGAATGGAGAAATTTTATCAGCACAAAGACAGTTATTAACTCTTGATTTGTCTATAAATAGAATATATCGTTTTTCAGAAAAAGTTTTTTTGAAGAACAGTAAGATAGTATATTTGAAGTTATGTCATAACTCAATGAGTGAATTTCAAGCACATATCGGTCATTTACGAAATCTCTCCCTATTTGATATATCTTATAATCAGCTGTCAGGCTTTGATTCATTAACGAGAGAAGCATTAACTAGCATATCAACAACTCACGTTGTTCAGGTCAATTTATTGGGCAACCGTCTTAAGTGTTCATGCGAAAATATTGATTCTGTAAAGTGGATGTACAATTCAAAAACCTTGGATTTTTTGCATTTTGAAAATTATACCTGTGCATTTGGCAATTTTGCAGAATATCCTTTGAAGGATATTGAGCATATACTTGACAGATTAGAGAAAACATGTTCTTCGTACACAGTAACTACAGTTGTCATGATATCACTGATCATTTCTGCCGTTACAGTAACAGTGAGTAGAATTGTATATAGGTACAGATGGAAGCTTCGATATATGTACTTTGTCGCAAAAAACAAATACAAAGATGGAGACAATTATCAGCAGTTAAAAACTCATAGTTCCTACCGCTTTGATGCTTTCATATCATATGCAGATGAAGACCGTCGATTTGTTATCAAACTTGTTGAAAAAGTTGAAAAAGAGTACAATATAAAGTTATGTATTCACCACAGAGATTTTATCCCAGGTACAGGAATAATGGACAACATCACGAACGCTATTCATTGTAGCAGACGAACAGTCTGTGTTATGACGACACACTTCTTAAAATCATACTGGTGCATGTATGAGTTAAACATGGCGCGAATGGAAGCCATTTATTCTCGCAACGGCAATAATGTTTTGTTTTTGATAGTTCTGGATAAGAATATCCTGAAAAGGATTCCTCTACATTTAATGGACCTTGTTGATAGCAAGTCGTACATGGAATACCCTGGAACGGAAAAGGACGTAGCACTTCTAGCATTCATATCGAAACTTGGGGAGACATTAAAATCAAAGGACAATGGTATTTAATTTTGGTGTACGCGCGAAAGCATGTCCCTCTTTTATCATGCTGTTCTTGATATCTTTGCAGGATATATGGCATCATTTGAAAAATACGTCTTTTTGCATTATCTTGTTATTTTGAACATTTCAGTTGCAAAAATGAACGTTATATATGATGCAGAAATTCACTCTTTATATTTCATTACTAAAACGGACTATTAAGCTACATGTACGTTACAAAACTGTTCTTTTGAAAAGAAAACTCATCTTTCTTGTTTTAGTAATTAAAACCTTTTATATTATGCATATTTTGAACTTTGTATGATGAAAGAATAATTATGCTATTATCATTATGCTAAATTGTCAATTATAAAATGAACTAAACAAAACTTACATGGCAAAGTATACCAAAGTGAGGGTGGTGAAAAAAATTAGACTAAAGATAGTTTCTGTGAATTATGCACATATACTTTCGTTTGATCAGATGTACTCGGACCCAAATTTTGTAAAGTGGGTAGGTAGGTAGATTTTTTTTTTTTGGCAGTATCTAACAAATTGATTTTTGTCATACAAAAAACACAGAATTAGAAATTTATTGATGTTTCATTACACACTGGACAGCTAGACAGATTTAATATTTATTGTTCTCAATAAAACAAGTGTCTTGGAGAAATTATAAACCTCAACTTAATAATGACACAAACTTTATTTCCCAGAAACCAAAAAAAGAAAAAAAAAAGAAATTATTAATGAAATTAAAATACTTAAAAAAATGATTGGGTAGGGGTGATTTTGATGGATCTTTTGGAGTACATCAAACAAATCATTCTTAGCTCACCTGAGCCAATGGCTCAAGTGAGCTTTTCTGATCAAAATTTTTCTGTGGCCGTCGTTGTTGTAAACTTTTCACATTTGAATCTTCTCAAGAACCACTGGGCCAATTTTACATAACAATACTGATACATAGGAAAGATCTTTAAAATTCTTCTCAAGACCAATATTGTCAAAATTGTTCATAATGATATAAAAGCATCCTAAAGTAATGTAGATTCAATTTATTCAAATAATGACACCCCCCTCCCCAGGAGAATAAAGGGGCCATAACAGGGGTCATAGTTATACAGTTAAACTCGTTTAGTACGAACACGGATATTGCGAATTTACGGATATAGCAAAGTTTTCTTGGATCCCCAGCTAAATATATTTTACTAATTCCTTATACAGATTACTAATTCCTTATACGGATATAATGAATTACGGATATAGCGAAGTAATTTCACAGGTCCCAGTGACTTCGTTATAACCGAGTTTTACTGTACAAAGGATATATCAATAAAAATTTTCTTCTTAAGAACAGCAATGCTAATATGTGTTATATTAATTCAAAAGCATCCTTAGAAAGTGTAGAATTCATACCCCCCTCCCCCCTTCCGAACCACTTTTATATAAAAAATCTATTTGACAATTTATTAAGATTTTTTTATTTTATATAAATCTTAGCGCAGCGGTTTGAATTTATGAAATTATTATTTTTCAAGTAAAGCTTTAAGACAAACTGGAGTGACAAGTATATATTTGTACTGACATTTACTGTGTTAACGCCCCTTGACCTTAGTGACCTTGTACATACGTTGTTACTTTCCTATGGTAAGAATGTTAAATCTGTAACATCCTAAATATTATAATTTGTTTTGGTATCTTGATTGGCTAGTAAGGAATCTTGATAGGGTCAAATAGTACAATATAGCACCAAGAGCATCGACTAAAGGGTTGACGGCGCAGAAATGCGTTTGCACGATGACGATGAAGCGATATTCACTCTCACTTCATCGTTCTATTGCACCATCGTCATCGCAATATTGTGTCATGTCACTGCTCTCTTGCTGCATCGCGTCATCGTTATGACACCATCGTGACATCGTCATCGTAATATCGCAACATACACCCAACAGTCGATGCTCAATAGTGCGGTAGTGATCTCCGTGGCTCTATCCGGATCCCATACTATCTGGATTCCATTATTATTCTTTGACGCTCATATGCGATATCATGTAAGTGTTGAACTAAAAATGACCAAGTCTACAGGTTCTGTCCTTAAATATAAATTATTCAAGTGCAAACAGTAATTTATATTAGATCTATATAATTCTTGCACGGTATGAATTTATATTTTACTCTCACTTTAAATGCAAAACACAATACATGTGTTTTCTTCACATAAAAATGTACTCTTTAAAATTAGTATAATAGCAATTTATTTTACGGCATGGAATAAGAAAATGTTCGAATTGTGATGGTTTCATCAAACATTAGCAGTTGTGAAAAAAGTCCTAGAATATAAACGTATCTTAATCGTCTCTGATACATGTATTTTTAGACAGAGAGAGTAATTTGGGCAAGCATTGACATTTTATTTGTGTTAAATACAATTTAATCTATGGTCGTTATCATGAAATTGTTAGCAAATGTAACCTGACATTGGGTCGTATTTTGGCTGACTTGTTTCATACCAATTGTTAGGCCTTTGTTTTTATACTGAATTGAACTACGCAAAGTTCCGTCTACCTGATCAATACATTGGGGCTTACGGCGGGTGGAACCGGTCATCAGGGGATACTTACTCCTCCTAGGCACCTGATTCCACATCTGGAATATCCGGGGGTCCGTGTGTTATGCCCTTTGCTTCACATTGTTGTGTTTTTAGACTTTTTGAGATCGATCACTGTTCGTTATCTTCACCTTTTACATTTGTTCCTGCGGGGAGAATAAGTGAAAAACATCCCGTAAACAATAAAACAAACAAAAAAAAAAATTGCTAACGATGGAATAGCACTTTATTATAAACTTAGGCCGGTAAGGTGAATTCTGGAAATCCAAAAATTTCACCCGAACAATTCGAAGCCTAGGACTTGACTGATTTACAAAGATGTTTGTAACATATAGGTAAAAATATAATAGTGACAATAGTCACATTGAGAATAAGTGACAGATGGCTTAGATAGAATAACTCATGATAAGTAAATTAATCAACACATTTTGAGCTAACCAGTATATTAGCATAATTAAAGTCTTTCAAAGTGTTAAAAGTAATTATAGTTTTTCGAAGTAAATTTCTAAATCAGCTAAAACTTCAATAAATGTGTCCCTAAAATCGTCTATATATCACAAATTACACCATGATATTTGTATCATTCCAACAATTTAATTTGTTTTTATGTTAAGTCAAGTATTTTCTCTGAATTAGAAGAAGTACTACATGTATACCAAGAGAAACACAAAATATATTACCTGTATGTTGTTTGTAACTCTAAAGGAATATTTTATCGATAAGATTATTTAGTGATTCAATGACATTTTATTATGTAGGAGTTTGAATTTTTAGGGTCTATTAACTAAAAACAAAATTATGCAACTCTCTGCGAAGAATTTATTTTCTCATATTTAATATCGTTATAGATATTGTCAGTATTGTGTTGTATCGTGCTGTTTACATATAATCATATATCTCCTTGTCTTTCAAAGAAAATTCGTCATATAAATTTAAAGTTAAACAGGTAAGATTCTTAACTATTTTACAAAGCTAGAAAACCTTTAAATTATTGTTCAGTTATAAAAACAATTTTCATGATTAAATATCAAGATATACATACCAACAGCAACAAAGAAGCCCTAAACATCGCAGAAAGGAAATACAGGACTTTTGAAATGCATCCTAAATAGAATGGAAAGCCTTGTTCTATTATTTCAACAGATTTAAAATTGCTGTATATTGTATCAGGTATTGATTAAAATACTGCAACAGCTTGAAGCATATTGAACTACTGATTTTGGAAATAAAATTAATAACTTCAAAACGAAGTACTTAACTGATAAAGCAGTACTAGAGTTTTGATTCAAAACAATTTCCTCAGAGTTGCGATAGTTAAAATGCAAATAAATTACATACATTGTATATTGGTTAATACTGACTCGAAAATAACGGTAGTTTATTACACTTGTGTTAGATAAATCTGTAATTCTATGCTTGGCACATGCGCAGATGATTGATTATAACGGGAAAGAGAAAAATAAAAGTTATATACAAAATTTCGAAATTGCAAACTGCAATTCGAAAGGCAATGGTAGAAAAAAATAAACACGTGTTTCAATTGTTTCAACTAGCCAGGTATGAGATCTAAATTTTGCTTTTCTAATTACAATTTGTTAAAAATTTGTATCTCTTAGCCGATATAAAATGTCAAGTGTTAAACTTCACTGGAGACAGCTTTAAACAAACCTGCAGCAAAGCTTGTTTAGGTAAAAAAAGATTACAAGAATTGGCGATAAGATGACTTCATTTTACTTTTAATTATGGCATTACTTCTATGTCAGCCTTGGGACCAAACATGTATGTTTCTTGTAAATACAAGATATAACATTAACAAAAAGAAATAATTTAATTTTTGTTAAATGTTATTAAATTACTCAAGTGAGGTTTGTAAAATATATCAGCTGTCTCGTTTAAAGTCATCATTTAGTAAGTTCTATGGTCGATACAGTGACCTTGTCAGCAAATACAATTTATCATTGAGTCAAATGCTGACTGACGTTTTTCATACTAATTGTTAGGCCATTATTTACACACTGAATTTTCAACGGATTTTCCCGTTATTTCCCGATCATGACAAGGAGCACACGGCGGGTGTGACCGGTCGGCAGGGGATGCTCACTCCTCAATGGCACCTGATCCCACCTCTGATGTTTGGAGGTCCGTGGTTGCTCTGCTCCTATTTTGTATTGTTCAATGGACTTTTGAGCTTGAATACTGTTCGTTATCTCCATATATTTCATTGCTTGAAAGTATGTGATATGAAATCCATTGTCAGGTTTGAAATCCTGACATGGCCAGATTGTAATTTTGACCAACCAGACTTGAATTACAATGAAATACTCGTACATGTATTAAGAACATGAACTTGGTTCCCCTTTGCATCTCACAATATAATTCTTGGAAGTACCCAACCTCTATCCAGATACATGTATATTAT